TGAAGATAAAAATAGAAAAGAGAGAGCATGCAGGCATGTACAAAGAGCTTTATGCTGTCTTTGCAGGCATATACGGAGAAAAAGAGCTGCTAAAGTCAAAAGAAGTAGATCTGTACAGGAGAATATACATTGCTCTCGGAAAGTTTTACAAAAAAGTGCAAGTAGCAGACGAGAATGAATACATTTTAATAGGAAAAAACATAATAGTAAACCAGAAGTATGTAAAATGCGAAAAAACAGTAAATCTAGATATAGCACAGGAAATTTCTAATGAAAGCGTGGCAAGCCCAGAATATATGCTAAAAATGAACAAATGGGGTGTTTCATTGAATGTGCATCAGCACTATCATGTGCACTATGTAGACAACACAGCAGCACGCTCTAGAATGCTGTGCATGCCCATACATGAAGACAGCGAGGGAAATAAACTGTATCTGCACACGATTGATGGCATAGTAGAGCACATAAAGATACTGTACGGGATTTATAAGGACTCAGACTCAGTGCACCCGTTCAGAGTAGAGAAGGGAACTAAGCTGTGGTCTTACATCAAGAAAAAAGACAGACATCTGACGATGAAAGACCTATCGGAGTATAATATAGTGTTCTACCACATCGAAGAAGACTTTGATAAAGCCGAGTTTACATTTGCAGAGTTCTGGCCTAAGACTCCGTGGGGAGACGGTGTAATCTGCATTCCTCTTTTCCTCACGCCTCTAATGCGGTCTGCTGTAGCGCTGGGGCCCTTTGTCCAGAAAAAAGACCACAAAGTGGTGGATCTGGAAGAGTTTGAAGATAAAAAGCCAAGTGTGTACATGTACAATAAAAAGTATAATGAAAACAACTACTCGGATGTGCACAAGTACTACAGAAACCTATACATACGGCAGGAGAAAGAAAAGGAAAACATCGACTGCTACACCATGGACTGCAGGACAGCTAAAGAGGAAAACAGAGCCATTAAGGCAGTGTGGTATGTAAGAATGCCTGACAGTGTGGATGAGTACACGCACTGCATACCGGATGAGTCCTTCAAAGGAAAAGAAAACACAGAAAAATTTAATAATTTCGTTAACGCGTTGGAGTCAAGGGAATACAACAAGGACAGCGATCTGCAGGGCATTTGGCTGAGTAATAATAGCAACGGAGAAGATATCGAACAAGAAAAAAAGACAAAAAGCATATGCAACTGGCTTGTGGAGATAAACAATAAGAAGAAAAAAACCACAAAGAGCCAAGAACAGATCAAGTCGCAGATTAGTGTATATGAACAGAGATTGAAGATGAAACAAGAGGAAGTAGAAGAGATAAAAAAATCAAACAAAAATAAGCATAGAAATCAGGCAGATTATACAAAAGTAAAGAAAACAACAATAACAATGATCTCCAAGTATAGAAAAAACTTAGAAATTCTATACAAAGAGCTATCCAGCCAGCCCAGCACACAAGCAGAGCTTATTGTATTTAGAAATATGAATAGCAGCAAATCAAATCTAGGCGCACATAATGAGATGTTTGACGTTTTGATCTCGCGGTATAAGTACAGAACCCAGGCAGAAGTGAACTGGCAGTGATTTAGCAGATCCTGTTGAGTGAATAAAAGAATATGAGAATATACCCTTTGTAGCTTCTATTTTGTCATCTGAGCTGTTTTTAACTTCTAGAGCCCACTAGATTAGAGCTTATACCGTTTATCAAGTGTCATATTAAATCAAAGTGAAAAGTAGTTATTGATTGGTACAGGCTGCATTTCAAATACCAAGCACTATCTCTACAAATCAATCAATAGAATAATTTACTCCGTGATAAATGCAATGCTCTCTATAGGGCAGTCTCATTGAGGATATAATGTGCAGATTGGTCCACTTTTAGCTGAAAAGTTATAAATAACGGACTATGATTTTTTTTCATGAAGTTAAATAATGTACTGTGTATTATTATGCTGCTTGCTCTCTTTATCACAGAGTGCAGAGCAGGAAGCGATGATTCCAATGAAGCAGATAGCATTGCAGGGCCATCTAAAGGAAGAAAAAGAAAAATAAACGAAACAGAAGATTGTATGGATGCATATAATTCACAACAGTCACCAGAGAATGAGGAACAAAATGTAGATGATGATCTGTCTGAAACAGAAATTGAAAAGAGGTATAAAGTACCAGCGAAAGATTTGCTTTTTAGTTTATGGACTGAGAAAAGATTGGACAATAAAAGAAGAAAGGCTTATAAAAAGTTTCACACCACAGAAAAACACCCTAGATTACTAGATATGCAAAGAAAGATGATTGATACAAATCGTAAAGATTACCAAGATAAGCTTAAAAAAAGTATTGATGAGTATTTTGACATTTCTGACAAAATAAAAGATCATATGTTTTGGTACTACATTGCAAGCAAAAATACAATAACAGACCAAAGACATAGAACCTTTTTCGGGCTGAAATGGCTATTTAAGAATGGCGAGGTTGACTATATGAAAAAAATAGAGAGCTTTGAAGGGTACTATCCTGACGTATCTGATGATATGATAGACTATATTGAAAAATATCAGCCAATGAGATCTCCTAAAGGAAATCCTATAACTACATGGAAAGAGACTTTTGGTGATATTTATATGCGAGAACGGTTTTATATAGAGCATTTTATGCCTAGCGAGCAGGAAGCGATCAGCAAGCTAGAAGAAAAGTATCGCGCATTGGCATGCGCAGTGCAAATGATTTTCATGCTGCCTGAAGTGTGCCAAGACTTTTCCAAGATCAATGAGAAGTTTATTGAAAAAACACATACTCTAAATACAGAGCTTATAAGTGATGTAAGTAAAAAAGTTCTGCTGGCTCTACATAAATTGCTAAAACTGCATATGTTTGGAAACAAAGATGTTAACGCATATAACGAGCTTTATGAGATCTTTGAAAGTGAGCGTAAAGAAAAGAAACTCCTAGAATTAACAGAAACAGGTTTGTACAAAGAAATGTACACTATTATCGGAGACTTTTACGAAAAAGCAGCGGTGGTTTACGAAAAAAACCATGTTTTAAAAGGAAAACTCATCATAACAAACCAGAGGTATAAAGTGTGTAGGAAGACAGTGAAGTTGAATCCACAAAAAGAAGGCTCTTATGAAAGTGTAAAAAGCCCAGAATATGAGCCAGCAAAAAACGAATGGAAAGTTTCATCCAATACACATATGCACTATCACATATACTATGTGGACAACTTAGCAGGATGCACTAGAATGCTGTGCATGCCCATACACGAAGAAGGCAGAAAAAAATATTATATGCACACAATTGAAGACATGATAGAACACATAGAGAAACTGTACGAAATAAAAGAAAAAACAGAGAAAGTGCATCCATTTAAAGTAGAAAAAAAAACTAGAAAATGGGAGTACATCAAAGAGAGTGACAGAGGACAGACCATGGAGACGTTGCTGGAGTATGATTTAGTGTTCTATCATGTAAAGGAAAGCATAGAAATACTCGATTTTATTGATGAAAAAAATAGAAACACAGTTGCCGAGCCCATTGAAGAAGAATATATTGAGGTAGTCGAGCTTAGTTCTGAAAAAGACGTAAAGAATGCTGAGTTTACATTTGCAGAGTTTAGCCCTAAAACACCACATGGTGAGAATACAACCTGCATTCCTCTCCTTCTTACGCCTCTGATGCAGCATGCTGTAGCACTAGGGCCGTTCATCAAGAAAGAAGATGCTGACCATACTGTGATAAAATCAGTAGAGACCATAGATCAAAAGCCAAACGTGTATGTGTATAACGAAGAAAAGTATGGGGGAAAAAACTTCTCAGACATGTATAATTACTACAGCAATATGTACATACAGCAAGATGAGGAAAAAAAGAAAAACATTGACTGCTACATCATGAACTGTAAGACAGAGAAGAAAGACAGTATCATTGAAGCTGTGTGGTATGTAAGAATGTCAGACAGCGTAGATGCATACACGCACTGCATACTAGATGAAAGTTTGAAGAAAAACACGAGAGAGTTTGACAGATTTATTGGTATATTGGAGTCAAGAGAGTACAATAAGGACAGCGATTTCCAAAGCTTTTGGCTGAGTAAAGACAGCATAAAAGATAGCAAGCCAGAAAACAAGACAAAAACTATATGGAATTGGAATGTGTTTATAAAAAATTTAGGAAAAAAGCCTAAAACTGAAAAAGAAATCCTATCTGGTATTAAAGATACTGATATAAGAATAAAAGAACTAAAAGCAAAGATAACTGAGCTAGAAAATACTAAAAGCGAATTTAAAGAAAAAGAATTTCAAAGAAAAAGAAACTCATTGGTCACTATGATGGGCATTTCTACAAAGAAAAAAACTGCTTTCAGCAGAGAAGTGTCTAGAAAGCCGGATATGCAAGCAGAGTTTATTGTGTTCCGTAATTCAAATGACAGCAAATCTAATCTGGGTGCACACAATGAACTACTTGATGTTATAATCACGTTTTATGGGTTCAAAAACCTGAAGAAAGTGAATAAAGTAAGCAGTGATTTGGCTGATCCTGTTGAGTGAATAAAATAAATTCTGAATAAAATTGAATATGAGAATTATTTAAAATGCATAGCTTCTCTGGTAGCAAAAATATATTGTTTATTTTTTTAGAAGAAATAATAATTTATTATAGTGATTCCATGAAGGAGCTACACTATGTCTAATATAAAATTCAATGTGTGAACTGGTTTGAAGATAATATGGTGCTTTATTGGTTGTAGGCTTGTGGCTGCTGATCGTATAATGTTTACTGTGCGTCTTGGTGGCTTGTGTCAGTGTGTCTACTGTCTGGGTATCCTTGTCTTCTTTAGTTTCTGAATGTGTCGTATTCATGCTCGCGCTATATAAAAAATATATTCATGCTTGTTTTTGGGATGATTATAGATTTGGCATATGAATTATATATTAATTTACGACAGTAAACAGCTAGCAGATTCTATATTGTGTATATTTATTTATTTTGTTGTTTGCATAGGCCTGCTGACTGTGTACGATTTGTCTGTTATTTCTACTAGGGCTGCATCAATTTCATTGAACAGTCTTATTATTTCGCTTGGCTCCATGAACTTGTCGTTCTCGCTTCTGCGTCCCTCCAGAATGTCGTGCACCACTGTTTTTTCTTCCTTTTTCATCTCCTCTGTGGCTATTTTGTCTTCTGTTTTGTTCTGTGTCTTTCTCGGATTGTCGTACTGCTTGTTTTTTATTTTTTCTTTTACTATTCTCTCTATGACCACATCGACTGTATTTTCTATTTTCAACGTTGTTTTGTTTCTAATGAACTCAATGTTTCTCGCAAACTCATCTGAATCGCAGTCGTCGTCAAAAAGCAGAGAGTTTTTTGGTCTTTCCTTTACCGACACTTCTCCCTTCTCAAACCAGGACTTGTTCTTAACCAGCTCGTTTTCAATGTTTTCAATCTGTCTCTGTCTGTTCATAAAGCACTCTAAAATATTTTCACTCTTAAATTAAAATATTTTCAACCGCAGCTATTTTCTTAGCTTTCTAAGCGTTTCTTCTGCTGTTTCTGTCAACAGCTCTGCTGCTTCGTCGTCGTTTTCTAGATAGTTGTAAATATCGTTCAGCTCTTCAGAGTTGTACTCTGCGCCAGAGCTGATATCGTTAATATCTTCAACATCCACGTCATCTTCTAAATTCTCTTCACTCACTTCATCCTCATCTTCTAAGTTCTCATCTTCTACTTCGTCTTGAGTGCAATCTTCTTCTTCATTCGCCAGTTCATTACTCATTTCTTCATCTTCTTCACTACTTACTTCTTCATCTTCGCCATTACTCTCATCGTTGTCTTCCTCTTGATTCTCTTCTTCTTCTTGGCCATCCTGCCCCGAAACTTCGTCCTCTTCATTGCTTTCACTGATGGATTCATCCTCGCTGACTGCGTTTTCTCTGTTCATGTACTCTACTAAGTATGCTTCTACTTTCTTTGTGGCTATTTCTGTTATGCTCTGTATCTGGTGGTATATCTGCTCTGTGGTGTAGTTCTTTACCTGTATCACTCTGTGCTTTCTTTTTACTTTTTTGTCGTTCCAGCTGGCATACTCATTCTGTAACTCTGTCTTGTAATCCATTCAAATAAAAAAATAAAACAGACTATAACAGAAAAGTATACCAGTAGAAACAGAAGAAGGCACAAAAAAGAGCAGAAACAGCAATGTTACATCCTAAATTACAATGAACGAGAAGAGCATTCTCAAATAAACAAAGATAAAACAGCTGAAAAAGCCCAACTATAGCTAAGTAGCACACTATGATCACAAAGAAAAGTGCAGCAGAAGAGCAGAAAATAAAGAAGAGCTAGAAATAGCCAGTGGCTAAGTAGCTAGCAGCTGTTCTTTCATCTGTTCTCTCGTCTCTCCTCGCATCTACTGTCGCTCATTCTTTTTCTTTCTTATTTTTCCACTATTATTCTCTAGCTCTCTGGTCTATTTTTTTTTATTTTTTAGTACCCCAGATAATATGTCCAAAGTATTAAGAAAGCAGAGACTCATCAGGGCTCACAATAGACCTAATAAAATGTACAAAAAAGGAGCAACAAAATTCCCTAAGTGCACTTCAGAAGTAAGAGAAGGAGTCATCGCAGAAATAGTCCATGAGCAAGGAAGAAACGCACCCCTGGCCATGGTCACCATGACAAACGAGGACAAGACAGTAAAGAAAGAAACTGTTGTGCTGGTGGCACTGGAAGGCATGTACACTGGAAAAACCATCTACTTCGGAGAGAAGACCTCTCTGGAGCTAGGAAACACAATGAAGCTGAAGAACATCCCAGACGGAACCGTTGTGTGCTCCGTGGAGAGAGTCGTTGGAGACGGCGGCAGCATTGCAAAGACAAGCGGATCATATGCTACAGTTGTGGGATACAATGCAGACAAAAACGAGACAAGAATCAAGCTGCCGTCCGGAGTTAAGAAGCCAGTGAGCGGAGAATGCAGAGCCATGATCGGAATAATCGCATCCGGCGGTGTGCACGAGAAGCCTCTGTTGAAGGCAGGAAGAGCGTACTATAAACATAAAGCAAGAGGCAAGCTCGGCGCATGGCCCAGAGTGAGAGGAGTGGCTATGAACCCTGTGGACCACTTGCACGGAGGAGGTAACCACCAGCACATTGGAAAGTCTTCTTGTGTCGCAAGAAACGCTCCATCAGGACAGAAGGTTGGTCAGATTGCAGCCAAGAGAACGGGAACAGGAAGAGCAAAGACAAAGAGATTCGAATAAAGCCCCCGATTAAACTGATTGCTGTCTTTTTTATTTTCCGTCTTTATCTTTTGCTCTACTACGCAATATTTCTGCTTAAAATAGCAAGAATAAAACATTCAGTTTACAAATAGGCATTAATAGATGGAATATCTGCAGCTGTTCACAGTATGTTATCTTAGAGTGGTGGCATAAAAGATCTTACTACTAATAGATCACCATCAGTCATTAAAAATACAACATAAGAGTGTACTTATTCATAGAGTTAGCTAACTGATCGTGTTTTTATCTGCTGTTTGTTTGTCTCATTTATATTGGTGATTTTTTCTGTTCTTTTGGGTGTTTATCTGCTGTTCTGCTGTATAATAGAAATATAAAATATTTGCATTTTTATGAGCGAAGAAAACAAGAACGGAAGAAAGAAAATACTTGAAGAGCACGAAAAGATGGAAACCATGCGCAGATCCATCTTGAACCTGAAAGACCTCACTGTAAAGTGCAACTCCTACATCAATGACGACATTTCGTACATCGACAAAATGGTCAGCCAGGGGAACGATGATGCCTCTGGGATAAACAGAATAATAAGAAAGATCCAGGAGGTAAAAAAGGACAGTTTTAATTTTATTTTGGCCATCACTGTTCTCATTCTCTTTTTGCTCTTGTTCTTTGGTCTTCTGTTCAAGTAACCAATTGCCAGATAATAAAAGCACCCGAGCATGTTTCAAAATGCAGCAGCACAATTTTCCTACAGAAATAATAGAGGAGCAGAATGCTAAGACAAACATCCTGTATGACCTTCTGGACTCTTCGCTGCACAGAATACTTCTGATCATATTCACTTTCATCGGGTTTGTCACGCTGTTCGTGCTGGCTAATATTCTTATTTGTATACTGGTTATCTACATAAAAGGATAAAACACAGAGGAGTAGCCTCTACTAAAATAAATTAATCTCTTGAGAACTAGTGCACGCGCTTAGATAGATGATGGTAGTGTAGATATTTGGTTGTTTAGCTCGTTTATGCTGTATATTGCTCTGTCTGCAGCTGAAAAGATCAAAGAACAAAGAAGAGCGAGTAATAAAGTTACATAATTTATCTGTTAATTTTATAGTTCGTGATGCATAGTGTTTTATTTCTCTTGGCACGTATTTGGAGTGCCACTGTGTTTTTTTCTATTTTTATGTAAACTGCACCTCTTTTACTATTTTATTCTTTCCTTCGCTTACCAAGTGTTTTATAACGTACTTATCTAGTGGGTCTTTTCGAAGAGACCTCTTTGTTGGGATGCTCTTCATTTTTATTTTGATGGTTCTGTGCGGCCACTGTCTTGCAACTTCTTTTCTTATCTGCGCGCCTTCCTTCGTGTTTCTCAAAATGTATGCATATTCTGCTGCGTATACCTCTTTGTAGTGGGAAATATCTCTTTTTAAGTTTCTGTTCATGGTGTACGGCAGCCCATAGAATGACCCCTTTAGGTCGTCCTGCTCTTCTGAGTCTGCAGACGTGCTGAACACATTTTCGCTCCAGTTCTTTATTAGCCACTCTTCAGTTTTTTTCTTTGTTTCCTGGTGGAACCCGGAGAACCTCTTCAGAATGCTGATGCCCAGAAGACCCTTGGACATTGTGAATCTGGACACTTTTAGAATCTTCAGTATGACATTTCCTTCTTTGGACATAGACACAGTTGCCAGTATATTAGGCGATATTATCAAAACTTTGTTGTGGCCCAGTTTTAGGACAGGCTTTTTCTCGTCAGATCCCGAGAATATCTGCACGTTCTCCGTTACTTTCTCGGATAAGCTGTTCTTGCGAATAGGCGGGTGAATGTGCGAGCTTGCGTACAAGAACGTTTCTTCTCCCAGACAGTCTCTGCCTCCCTTTTTGTAGACCATAGTCCTAGCGCCCAGCTCCACTATCTTATTCTCCTTTATCAGCGCATTGATCACAAGATATCCATCAGTGTACAGATTATACGCGCCGTCAGGCACTCTTCCAATGGGAGAGTCGTTCAGGTCCACAGCATATGATCCAACCCATCCAGCGTTCGATGAGAGAAGGTGCTTTTTGTACATATTTGGTATCATATTCGCAGGCTCTTTCTTTTTGCTTATAAAATCGATCAGAACTGCGCTTACTTTTTTCCACGTTATTTTTGCCATTCTTTTTTTGGCAGCCTCTCCCATTTTCTTGCACATCTCTTTGTTCTTGATGAACTTTTCCATGGCATTCGCAAGGGAGACTGTGTCTTTGTACGGCACCACTGCTCCGTATTTTGTGTACGATACGTATCCTCCCCTTGCATCATCTTTTATCGATTTTGCGCTGTACTCAGGCGTCTCTACAGGGAGGCCTAGCAGCTCGCCCGAGAGCCCAAAGGGCGTAGCAATCACTGGCATGCCAGCACTCAGAGCAAATGAAATAGTCCCTGAAGTGGGCACCTCCACAGTAAAGGGCGCGAGGAATATATCTGCCTGCAGATGGTATCGAGTGAGCTTGTTGAGAGAGTGGAAGCCAAAGTCCCATTTAATCTTGTCGCTTAGCCCGTACTCTCTGACTTTGTTCATAAAGTGTTTCTTTAGGGCGCCATCCTCCTGGTCTTTTCCTGCTATTTGCAAAAACCCGTTGCCAAGGGTTCCTCTGTCTTTGAGTATTTTCATGGCATCGAGCACGTTGTAGATCCCTTTCATGGCTCTCATCAAGCCTGCCATTAAAAAGGTTGTTCTGTCTTTGTTTTTCACAATCTTTAAACTTTTCTTGTTTTTGCCTTTTTTCAGCTTTGCGAGCTGCACGCCGTGTGGGATGTAGAGCACTTTGTGCTCGGGTATCCCGTAGCAGTGGACAAGCGCATACTTCACCTTCCATCCCAGGCCAACCATGTAATCTGCAGAGACAGCTAGTCTCTGAATTACCTCTCGTATGTTGTATGATACGTACGGATTTCCCGTGTGAACAAACACGAATGTTGTCGTTTCTTTTCTTATTCTGTTCAAAAATGTTTCATAGTTGGGATAGAAGTGGAGCAGGCCCAGCTCGTGCTGCACCAGAAGAGCATCAAAGTTGCCTTCATTTATTCTGTCTGCTATCTCTCTCAATGTCTCTACCTCTGTCTCTCTCACGAACTCGTACGTGTGGACTTTTGTTCCCTTCATTTTCACTGGCAGCCCTATGTGGGGCTTTCTGTCGGTTGAAAATATTTCTATTTCTATGTTTCTCTTGTGCGATAAAATAGCAGCACACATGTTTTTAGCAAATTCAGCTATACCGCAGTTGGTGGGGGGGTATGTGGAAAGCACGGCAAGGCGAAGGGCCTTTTCCTGGGCGTAGACACAGCCCAAGAGCAGCCCTAGCACAAACAGTGTGTTTCTTGCACAAATGATCATGCTGCAGACAGAAGAGGCCAGTTATATAGACAGGATCCAATAATTAAATGTTAATTAGAGGTCCATAGAAAGTGGCGGTAATTAAAAAAACAAAATAGAATGATCTTAGAATGGCCAATCTGAGTAATTAATTAATTGGCGCTGAGTAATGAACAGGCATGAGTGTTTGGGCATATGGTCATCGATGCATGGTGAAGACGCGTGAATTATGAAAAAAGAACAGTTTATTCTCTGAGTGTTATAAAAGGAGTGAAATAGATGCTAGTGAATAAGCTAGTAGAATATTGTGGTACTGAGTGGGTAGTAGAGTGTTGATAAGGGAGTAGCACTGCCACGTTGTTCTACTTCTTTCTTCATGTGCAGTTAGAACAATCAGACTTTCCATGTTTGCTAAGCTTGTTCTCTCCTCTTCAACTCCCAGAGTGTTTTATTTGTACTGCTTTTCTTGCCCTTCTGATATAGACATTGCTAGGGTGTATACAAACAAATGGACACACTTATGAATTTAAATTGCAGAACTGTAGAGCTATTAAAAGTAAAAAGTAAATAAATTTATTTTAAATAAACCTGTACATCTCTAGAAAAGTAAAGTTTATTTTTATTTACCAGCTCCACTGGATAATTTACAAATGTACTGCATTCAAACAGTGTTACACATCTCAATGGAAACTGCATCTGCATCATATACACTAGATAGCAAATTGCACTTTCCACGTTAGGCAGTTCTTCCTGTTCTGGTTTTTCTGTTTTCCAGGATTATTCTGTATGGTGAACGCTCTCTGTTCTGTTTACTGGTCTACTGGCCCTGTGGAGATATTTTCTTGTCTTCTGCGCATTTGTATGGTTGCTAGCCTCTATGTGTTTTACATTTTCAAGCATTCCAATACTTTTATGAGCTGTCTGTTCTCCAATCAGTCAAACGCTGATGACTCAATCTTGCAACCGTATTCTCAAACACTGTTTCAGAAACATCTTTTTAAGACGTAATGACTAGATAGTTATGAAAATACTGTCAAAAAGAAACACGTATATTGCCAAGATTCTCTTTATGCTGGCCTCATCCGCCATGGCATACAATATATCTCGCAATTCCGACGAGCCAGGAGTTGTAAGCATAGTTCCATACAGTGATTACTTCCTGTCAAAGAGGCCAAAAATAAAAACAGGCGATGAGCTGCCGCGCGCATACCTAGTGGGTTTTACTCCATTCAAAAAGTATGTGGGCGCCAAGGAGTATCTAACCGACAAGAAATATAAAAATTATCACAAACGCCCCGAGCTCCTCAACGTCCAGGTATACAACAGAACTGTTCTTTCTGTGTTCTACACCAAAGAGTACTTCCAGGCTCTGTACGCAGGATGGTTCCATGGCGAAGAGCTTCCGATCTACAACGCGTACTTCAAAAACTTTTTGACAATGGTCAACATGGCAAACATTCCGTACTATTCAAAAGAAAAGGGACACTATTTGACCGAGCTAGACATACATACTATCTTGGCGCTCTACGACATATTCGAGCTGAACCACTATGAAAGAATACCTGTGGATGCAAAGAAATACACTAATTTGGACATGACAAAAAGAGACTGTTTCAAAGAAAACATGAGATTTCTTATTGAAAGAAGCAAAGACGGATATGATGCATACCTAGGCATACTCAGACACATAAAAGACGCAGGTCGAGCTGTCTTTATGTCAGAAGTGCCTGCTACTCCGATAGACACCAAAGACTGGGCGAACTGGGTGCTGAGCAGAAAGTTTAATCTCGATCTGTTCTGGTACCTGTACTCCACTCTCTGCAACAACAATATGGATGTCCGCAAAAAAAGAATTGTCACGTATGTTAAAGAAACGTCAGTGCTCGGGAAAAAAGGGCTGAAAATTTATTTGAGCAACAAAAAAAAGTCTGAGGAGGAGTACATTGGTCTGTCGCACTATCTCCTGTACAACAACCCGCTGAAGGTGAAAAACATGGAGATAGCCGTGCAGGAGGGCCTGGGAGTGCCTGAAAGACAGCTTAAATCGGTTGTGGAGGCGTTCAGAAATCTAGAAGTTGTCTATTTCAGTTCTCTTGGAAACTTTGACAGAATTGAGAACAATCTGTCTCTAGTAAATGTCGTGCTGGACGTGGAGAAGAAAAGACGGGAGCGAAACATGACCCCAGTTCTAAGAGGGTTTGCGATCTACGACTACAACTCGCTGAACAAGTTTGCAAAAAGACAGCTGCTGAAACTAGACCTTGTCAAAGTTGGGTTTATGACAAAACAGGAAAGATGCAGAACATGTATAGAAATGGGGCACAGATGTCTTTACAAGCTGAACCACCGCCAGCCCAACTTCCTTGGAATGTTCGCCATCAAAGAAGACAATATAAGAAATGTAAGAGGACTTATTTCCCCGTACAAAATCGTGTTTGATGAGCAAAACGTAGAACAGCTGTACAACTTGAGCGAGCTGGGCATATCGATAGACGACAAGGAGCTGCCTGATCCCTACCAAAAATCAGAGCTGCCGTACGGTCTTAGAACCTCAATGTACATAAAAACAGTCCGGCTATTTGGAGATAGCAGAAAACAGGCGCCCTCTCATTTGGATATGTTCAAAAAGATCCTGAAGATAACAAGTGCAGACCACATTGACATTTCCAGCCTGCCCTTTTTGAACTCAGAAATTCTTTCTGTTTTGCAGTCTGATGACAATTACATCAGAGACAACATAAAAATATTCGCATTCACGTACTTTGATCCAGGACAGCAGGTGGCGCACTACAATAAAGCAGCAGGAGGCCCCAACGGGCACACAGGCGCAAACCTTTTGCAGCAGCTATTGATAACTCTTCCGAGCATAGAAAGACTCGACATAACCATTATAAACGACAGAGAAGAGGCAGCAGCGTTTGTGGAAGATTTCAAGTATCTTTTCAGGTGCGGCGGAACAAAGTACACGGAAGAGCAGCTCAAGAAGATTATAAACATCAAGATACACAGTCCGCTGGAGTTTACCTCTGTGCAGAGCTGCCGTGTAATACTGGAAACTGCAATAAGCAGAATACAGAAAAGCATACACAAGCTATTCGAAAAGATAAAAACGTGTCCAATCGGAAAGAGTGATAGCATCAAGAAAATGACGCTCCAGGAGTTTATGCTGACGCTGAAGCATGTGATGTCTCCTAACATTTGCCTGCCTGAGCCTGGACCCAACACCGGCTAATTTCCTCTCAGCTCTACCTATTCCTCTTCTAGAAGTTAAATAAAACCTTAAATATAACTCACGTCTAGCTTTTAAGTTTTTTCTTTGTTCGAGCATGCAGGAAATAATCCGATAGTTAGAGAATAATTTATTCCCAACATTCCAATATTTCATTTGTGCTGTTTCTTTATTCTCATTTCTTATTATACAATACTACGCACTCTTTTTATGGCTTGTTAGCTAGTAGAATAGCATAGAGCTAGTGTATCTGCCAATAGAACTAATTATTCATCTGGTTAGCTTTCTCACTTCCTTGCTGGCACTGGCTTATACTATAGCTCATGTTTATCTAGTTAATCCTATCGACAGCACATTCGCTATCTCTGAGCACGCGGCTGTCTCGCTCAACTAAATGTTTTTATTCATAAATATTCTACATTCTTTTTGCGTATTTATTGTTTAACCTTTGCATCTTTTGTTCTTTGTTTTGATTTTTACTTGTGCTTAGTCTAAAATAGCTTAGTCCGCCTAGTGTGTGAAAATGTTCTTTTCGATGATTTCAATTAAATCTGCCGCCACCAGCCTTTTTACCTCTCCTGCGCCCACTACAAAGTGGTTCTTCTTCTTTGCGCTTTCCTCCAGGACCATCCACGTCCTAAACCCGTTTTCAGTGCACTCGTCTGTTGCGCCGTCTGTTTCTTTGCTTTCGTTTTTTATTTTTATTATGTCTCCAAACTCTGGCCTGTTTTTCCTTGCCTCTTTGTCCAAAGGGCTGTTTGAGCACGTTTCTTTCTTCTTCTTAAGAATCTGCTTCAGCCTCTCCCGCGCCTGCTCTTCTATGTACTCCTTGTACTTTTTGCTCTTGTACTGTTTTGATGTGTTTAGCTCTTTTACCTCTATTAGTATTTTGCTGACTTTGTTTTTGAATATCATCCTGGGGGTTATGTTCGTGTACGGCTGTCTCTTTTTGTTCAGCCCCAGGACTATCCAGTCGACAATGCCCAGCCATGTTTTTTGGTTTTCCGACTTTAAAATGTATCTTTTCAGCCTGCTCTTGAACGTTTTGAAAATATTTTCTGCATGCTTGTTCGGCTCATACGGGTAGTTTTTTACGCTTCCCTGGATGTACTCTATAGAAGGCGTCTGGCTGCTCATGCTTTCTATGTCCACGTCGATCATTGTCTTGGACTTGTATATCCACGTGGGCCGTCCCTCTTTCCTGAAGAGGCTGTTCAGGCCCATCACCACCTGGCTTGCTATGCTGATGCAGTTCGTGAGCGGGTAGATAAAGTGGTACTCCGAGTACGAGTCTACGATGTGGAGTATGTGCGAGTAGCCGTTGTTGAAGCTTTTGTACACAGACAGATCAATCAGCGAAATGTCCAGCCGCTCCATGGGCTTGTTCACCGGGGGAATGGGCTTTTTGATCATTTTGCTGTTTTCTGTTTTTTTCTGTTTTTTCTTTTCGCTTTCCTCCAGCTCCTGGTTCTCCTTTTCTTCTTTTTTCTGCGCGGCTGCCCCTTTTTTTTCTTTTTTTCTTCTGAGCTTGTCTCTGCAATATTCACAATTTTCTATTAATGACGCGATGTGATCCTTTTTGAAGCCAAACCACTTTCCCTTGATCATCTGCCACGCCCTGTAGAGCTTCAGGTGGCTGTTTCTGACATGCACCTCTTCGAATATTGTTTTGATCGCTTCTTCGTCGTCGTCTCCCACGGCCAGCAGGGTTTCTCCGTTGTTTGCCATAGGTGCCTGCAAACACCCCTCCTCTCCTATTGTAAAGTCCTGAAAGCGGTCAATAAAAGCCTTTTTTCCTGCCTTGGTTAAATAATCAGGAGTATTACCAGAAATAAGATAGTTTTTGATTTCTTCAATGATGATTACCGTCATTTTTATAGATAAAGTATCTTTCTTCTTCATCTTCAGCAGGACTCAAAAATATTTTAGAATAAATTTCAATGTACAAAACTTCCTTTAAAGACCAAAAGAGCAAAAATTTAGCTTCCTTAATTAATTGGCAAAAAGAGCAAAAATTTTGATACGCCGCCAGCACAGGAAGGAGAGCAGAGAGCAGTCGAATCCTCCAGAAGGCAGCAGACAAAGAAAACAGGCCAAGAGAGTAGATGAGCAAGCGCGCAGTTCAGGAAGTGGGTAAACCTCGTACGAGTGCATAGCAGAGGCTGCGCAGTGATCAGCGAGTGAATGCATAATAAGAGAAGAGGTGTCGCTAAAGCAGCTAATAGCAGAGAAAAAGAGCAGAAGCAAGTGTATATCGGTTAGTAGTAATATTTATTGTGTTATGCCAGTATTAAAGGAAATATAGAGGAGACAGCGCCTGTGATAAGCGAGAACAGGACGAAGGGGTTAAACGACTTTGAGTACATGCAAACAGAAATAGCAGCCCCAAAGACTCTCAGGAATACAGTGAAAATAGGAATAACTGCAGTGGCGGGGTAGTAGTAGAGAGCCTTCTCAATCGACAGCAAAAAAGACATGCTCGTAAGGACAGCCACCACCGGAAGGAAGAGCGTAAAAATGTACGAGAATGAGCACAGGGCCCCAAAGCCCACAGCGGCCTCAAAGGACAGCACGAGCATGCACGTTAGATCAGACACTTTTTCGAGCTCAAATTTTCTTCTTATTGCATCGCCGTGTGAAGAAAGCCTCATGATGGCAAGAGCAAGGATGACAAGGAACATGATTATGGATATCCAGCTGAACCCTGCGCTCTGCTCTATGTCTCTGTACCCCACCACAGAAAGATAGATGCTTATGATGGTAAGGGCGATTGCTGAGACTGTTTCGATTGTAAGGGTGAAAGAGCTGACAAATATCTGGTTCAGAATGGGAAGAACCTGGAAGGAAGTGATGATGATGGGGAGGCCAAAGAGAAGGATGCCCAGGGAAGCGAGGAAGGCACTGGACATGTACGCAAGCAGAGAGATCCCGTGCTCCTTGGAGAAGAATCGTGGGCTGGCTTTGAAGAAGTAAACGGAAACGAGAAGGAGAGGGGCAGAAGCCATCCCCAAAAGCAGGCCTTTTATGCTGTCGCCTGTTCCCCAGGTGTGTATGATTTTTGAGTAGGCTTCGCTATCTTGGATGTTTATTGTGCTATTAGTCCAAGTCATTGTATTGTTTTTCATTTTCTGTGAAATACTTGTGGTTACCAGATGAAACACTCCTAGTGAATGGAAAGGAAGTTTGCTGCTTCTCACCGCTGTGCTGAAACAGACACATGCAGCAGATGAAACAGATTATGGGAACAGGACACAGGAACAATAAATAAACAGAACAGCAAAGAAGTGGTGAAGATAAAAGCGGTGAAGTAAAGTAGAGGTGCATGACTACTACCAACTTATGACCAGTGGAGAAGATCAGCTTGTGCAAAAGAACTTCTGTAAAACATTAATAGTAGTAGTGATGAAAAATAAAAATAGAAAATGAACACTAAATGATGCACAGAGTCAGAATAGAAGAATAGCGATAATCAGTGTGGAGTGATAGAGCAATGGATGAAGAAAAGAGCAATAGGAAAGACTGGATAGCATATAAACTATTTTTTTACAATGCTATGTGCTAGTTCTGTCTGTTTTCTATTGTATTTCCAGCTGCTCTTTCTCAGTGATTATAACCCGAGAATATCTATTGAATTATACACATAGTATGCATAGTCATTCGTTCTACTGACTGGTAATTCACCGTTATGTGCGGAATGGAATCTAAGATAAAATTATTAATAATTTACTTTTTACTTTTCTGCTGCATGAGAATAAGTTCAAGAAAAGGCGAGCCATCGACCATCCGGATAACCAGCATGGAGAGCAAAGTCAAGTCTCTTTTGGTGCAAATGGCGCTGATGATCACTGCGCTGCTGTGGTATGCTAAAAAGGGCGGAGTCCTTTTGGCCATTGCCTTTGGGTACTTCTGTGCTAACTCTTGCTTTATTCTTCTTCTGATTCTTCTCACGGCATCTTCTACCAAAAGAAAAATAAAACACGAGGAGGCTGTAAAGGCCGCAGAGGAAAAGACAGTGAAGTCGGCATCACCCCCGATAAAAACAGAAGAGCCAGAGAAGAAGCCGGGCCTGAACTTCCAGCTATCTTTCAGAAAAAAGAACAAGTCAATCGCTCCTCCAAAAAAGATCATCATTAAAAAGTATGAAGAGTACGCAGCCACCTTCAAACTCACAAAGAAAATAGAAAAAGAGTTTAAAACGTGGGTGCTAAAGAACGTTGTTACGCCTGTTGTGGCAGACCCCGTGAGCACACAGAGCAGGATAATGAGCAGAACACAGAAAATACTCACCCAGTCAGAGATCAACGACCTGAAAATGATGAGCGGAAACGGGTTTATCTGCTACGACAAAAACAACGAACTGCACAGCCGCGCCCTGTTCAAAGTTCTTTACAACTATTTCAACGACAAAATACCAAGCGACACTTCTTTCTACGCCAACCCCATGGACGAGTTTGTTTTTGACGATATCAGCAAAATAAAAATAAGCATGTTCGGGCTGCTGGTTGAGGACACAGAGTCGCTGATAGAAGGAAGAAAGACATTCAGCGTCTATTTTATGAACAACAACATCCTATACGATACAAACGGGGATGTGATACTGTCGTTCTTGCTGCTGCTTATTTTTGCAAACGAAAACGAAGGAAGATGCCTTGGCGCTCTATCTCTGCGCGGCCTTCCGTTCCTTCCCAAGTAAAAGTATAAATATCATCAAACTCCAACAATAAAAATAAAGATAAATGAATGTTCACCGATAAATTATACTGTAGTTACACAGACCAAGCGCACATTGCATTCTTAGCCCTAGACTAATAAGAGAAGTTTGCTGTTCTTTTATCTTTAGGTTGCGCAGCTCTTTGAGGATATTTTATTTTTAAGCACACAGCTCCAGTGGAGCAGAGTTTGCCAATTGAATTCTAAGCGTTCTGCCAAAAATAAATAGAAAATGGCTTGCCATCAGACCACTTACGCTATATCTGCTAGCAGAGAACTTTACCACTGGCGCGCGTGCATTGGTTTGCGCAAGGCAAGACATTTATTGCCGCTTAGAGCTCATTTGCCCGCCAAAAAAGGCAAATGCTTTTTTTAATTAATGTTCTTAAATATAAATCGATCCTGATTCCCAAATGAAAATATTGCCTGTTTTGGCTATAGCAGCAGCATCATGGATGGAAGGCGCGTTTTCTTCGCTAGATAGCGATTCCGTATTTGTTTCGTCAGCGCAGTCCTCTTCCACAAGCTTTCCTGCTCTGGAAAACGCAGACACCGAGAGCGCAAGAAGAGTCTTCAGTGAAGAGCAGCAGAAGATAGGAGAAAAAACAAAGAGTAGCACGAGCACCTTTGTCTACTCCAATTTGGACGCGTTTGACATTCCCGAGAAAAAAGAGAACGTCAGAGCAGTGCTCTTCCACAACTGCAGCTTCGCAGAAATACCTGATAGCATCGCTGAGTACAAGAACCTGACTTCTATTTCAATCACCAACTCAAAAATAAAAACAATCAGCAGCAGAATATCGCAGCTCAAACACCTGCAGGTGCTCGACATCAGCAATTGCAAGGACCTAGAAAGGCTGCCCAGCGGGCTCTTTGAGTGTCCCCGTCTGATCTCTTTAACCGTCACCAACTGCAGCATAAAAGAGCTGCCTGACAGTGTGGGGCTCTCAAAACTGACAAAACTCACTCTAAGCTACAACAAGCTCTCCGAGCTCCCAGAAACTCTTTCAAATATCTACGGGCTGCGGTATTTAAACCTCTCCAACAACGCGCTGACCGAGTTTCCCTTCAACTTCCATGAGCTCGATCGGCTTGTAGAGATAAACCTGTCGAATAACCAGATTGTTTTCAGGCAAAAAGACAACGAAGAATACAAAAGAAGGTACAACTACGTAACAAAAGAACAGTACATATACGGAAGCAGCCGAGACGTGCCAGAGTTTACGGTTCTTCCGAAGCTAGAATCTGCAGACCTCTCCAGCAACTTCATCGAGGACATTCCCACTGTCTTTTTTATGTCGCAGGCCATAAAAAGTCTTGACTGCTCAAACAACAGAATTAAAACGGTCAGCAGGCTGATAGACTATCTGCTGAGAAGACAGAAGTTTGTGTGCATTAACTTAAAAGACAACAAAACTCTGCAGGAGTACGGCAACATGGAGACGACCTGCGGGTTTAGAGAGATATTCTGGCTCTTCAACAGAAAGGCCAAGTTCTCGGAAGAGGTTTCAGAAAAGCTGGCAGAGGTGATAAGCAGAGAAAAGGCGTATAAGCTGCTCGAGGACAGAATTCTCGAAGAAAGAGTGTGGAACTTCGAAAGAGTAAAAACAATAAAAAAACAGTACGAGCCGTTCCCGGCAAATGATCTGTCAATAAGAGACAAGAACTCGTACATAAAAAAAATACTGAAGTACAAGATAAACGAGTATCTTCTGATTCTTAAAGACAACATCCAATGCGCTCTGTTCAGCTTCCCCAACAAGACGTCAAACCCCAACCCCAACATCATTGGGCTAGATATTTTCTGGATGCACAAGATGCAGGAAGAAATAGGGCCCGAAGGGATGGAGATTCTGCTGAAGAAAGAGCATGCGCAGTACTCTCCTCTGTACCCGTACCTAAACGAAAAAATAGAAGATCCGTTCTTTGGCTCCTTGGGCAATGCTCTCCTCGCTTTCTACACAAGATTTACAGTTAAAACAGCAGTAAACTACATCCGGTGCAAGATCAACTCAGAGGCGATATTCATCAAAAGCATGATCGGGTATGTGCATAGGATGGGAGGCACAGACAAATACCCTAAGCTGTTTGTCACCGCTGGGAACAGCCAAATACAAATCACCAATGTGGCAGTGCTGCTAATTCTCAAAGACTTCAAGTATATTAAGTGATCAACACAAGTCAAAAGATTGCAAAACTGTAGCTGCTATAAATAGCTCTGAAGAGTGCGAGCAGCATATCCTGGGATGAGTATTTTTTATCCAGCTATACGGTGCCAGATGGACGGTTTTTAGTGAAATAAGAAACATCAGTGAATAAAGAATTTTATTTTAATTCTCCGGTAGGAATTTGAATAGCTTATAGTTTGCTGTTGGAAACCCCTTTTGAGTCGTGCATTGTATGCATGCAGTGGTGCAGGAAGACAATCGAAAGGATTAAGATGAGCGATACAATCACCGCCACAGTATAGCATATATAGCATATTATCTCTCTGTAGTATATTCGAAAACACGAGGGTCCATTTTTTTCAGTGGTGGTTGAGTTGTATATGTTTATATTTAGTATTTCATCTATTTCGCTGAGACGAGCACTGGTTTTATTTTTTAACTTTTTATCCTCACATGGCTGCACTGGGTCCACTTCTATACTGTTTATGTCGCTCAGCATCTGTTTGGGATCTGGGCTTATAAGAGGTCTTATCTCATTGGCATTCACAACAGTTTCTTTTTTTCGATCTGAAGTGGATGGTGTATTTAATGCCACGTTTCGTGGGTTGAATATCATTTCTACGTACTCTTCTTGTTCTTTATTATTGCTTATCATGTGCAAATTATTTTGAAAAAGAACTATATATAGAAAATAGCAATCTATTAACTAAAAATGAAGTGCAAAATCACACTCTGCTTGCTGATTTTTATTTTAGTGCTTGAGCTGCCATATTCCTCTTGCACTGCTAATATTTTTGTCTTCTTGTGTGCTATTGTAAGTTGCTGCATTGTTCTTCTTATTCTGGTCCAGTTCAATGACATTGATCTGTTTTATCTCCTTTGTTTTAGGCTCTATGCAGCTTTTATGCAGTAGTTTTATGCTGTATCCTTTTTTGTCTATTTTAGAAGATATGTATTTACTCATTTCATATCTATTGCTGCTCACTGGGTCTGTTGCGTAAGCGTTCTCGAAAGGAGTAATGTTTAAAAGAAGACGTATTTTTTTTCTTTATAGAAATAGTCGTGTATTCTGCTGTCTTAGAATGTAAGAAATTAGCAGTCCCCAGAAAAAAGGAAATATTAAGTGTAAAAAGGAAGTATTTTATTTTTTTATGATTCTAGGTCAAGTACTAAAGAAGGTAATAGTAGGAGCACTCGTACTAGCTTGTTTCCAGAGAGCTAAAGGAGTAGTAGACAATGATGTACTAAAAGCCGAGGTTTACTGGGAAGGCAAAATAGCTTGTATGAGTAAGGAATTTGAAAGCCGAAAAGAATTTTTTGACAGAGCAGAGTCTTTCATGTGTGAAGAAGAGCCATCAGACGCTTTTAGCTTTGGCCTTATGCATGGAAGAATACATCTGCTCGCAATAGAAGAACAACTAAAAGACTTTGTCAAAAGTGCAGAAGATATACTACACATGCTAAAAAAACAGATCGATTTTTCGGTATTTGATAGATCTCAACTGAAAGACTTTTTATTGAATATATTTGATCAAGAGGTAAATAAGGTATACAGTAGCTTAAGAAACTCATTTGCATCAGTTCTTGACAAATGTGATGCAGTAAGTGACGAAATAAAAAGATTTGATTCGCACATGCTGGGAGTGATAGAGCAATGCAGTGACAGCATGCCGGGCGCAAAAATACAAGAGCTAACTATATTCAAGCTAGCAAAGATGAATAAGCCTTTCGCTGCAAGTATAGTGTACAATCTTTTTGGAAAAGGGCCGTTTGAAAGAAAATACGATGCAAAACAGACAATAAGCAGCATGTTCGCAGAAGTAAGAGAACATCTTCTTGTTTCGGATTTTATACCTTATAACAATGCTCTATTAAGAGGTATAGAAAAAGGAGAGACAAACCTACTTTTGCTAGCTGATAGACATTTTCATCTGCTATTTAGCAAATACGGAGTTGAAGCAGACGTGATGGACATCTACCTCAGCCTAGCAAAAGAGAATATTTCAGAAGAAGAAATCAGTCAGCACAGAGACATCACTCCAGGGCAGGTTATGAAAGTGATAATAATGGAAAGCGTGCTGTGCAGAGATTTTATGGGTCATAGAACAAACGTCCTATTTTCTAACCTTGGAAAAGTAATAGAAAACATAGCAAAACCAGCTGGTAATAGCGAAAATATTCATGTGCATATAGAAGCAGCAGGGAAAAAACAAGACAAGATACTCGACGCTTTGAATGTTCTATGGAATGGAAACGAAGTGTTTGGAGAAAAACTACGAATAGAAAACATTAAAGCCTTCTGTGCACAGAACAGCATATCGTATCTTGATTTTAAAACTTTGCAAAATAATTTTGTGAATGCTAGATGGATGTATAGATTGGATCCGCTTTCCTTCGCATCAGAGAACATAACTAGTGAGCACAGGAAGTTCAGAGAAATGCACTTTGACATGACTTACACTCACCCCATGTACTTTATCTATCAGCGATATAGAAGCGCTATTAGGCAGTCTGAAGACATTAGCCGTTTAGTCAATGCTATGCATCAGGACAGAAAGCCTTTTGCAGAAACAGACTCAAATGATGTTGCCAAGATTAGACTATACCGAATAAGCAAGACAGACAGCGATCTAGTACAAAGGATAAACATAAAAAGTTGCATTAAAGCATGGTATTCAAAGTACATTGAAATTGCTGCTAGAAAAGAGGACTATACACTAAACTTCAATATACTCACTCGATTTTGCACAGCTTTTACTAAGTCGCAGTATGTGACTGATGCTAAAATAAAGCTCGAAGAGACAAGCGAGCCCAGAGCCAATGAAAGCAATCCTCTGCAGGATGACCGAATGGAAGTTGATGATTTTGAACTAGTCGAAATGCCAGACAGCCAGTGAACTAGTTTTCACGCCTAAATAAAGCTACTATTTAACTATTCCTTCTACCAGACACATTCTTTAGTTTTCGCATTCATAGATCGTTCAAACATGCTATCTGTCCATGAAGGAGTTGTCATGCTCAAAATCTGTTTTTAATTAGATTTTATAGTTTGATGTATGGCTGGCTCTAATTCACTGTAATAAACAAGAAAGAGCTGAAAAAATTAGCAGCCCCTGGCAAAAGAGGAAATATTAAGTATAAAAAGGAAATATTTTATTTTTTTTATGATCCTAGGACAGGCACTGAAGAAGGTAGCAATAGGAATAGCTGCAATGGCGTATTTACACAGAGCTAAAGGAGAAATAGATAGTGATGCACTAAAAGGAAGAGCTTATTGGCATAATAAAGTCTCCTGTATGAAAAGGGAAGTTGCAATTCGTCGTAATTTTATTAGTGAGGCAGGGTATTTCGTACAGAAAGAAATGCCATCTGACAGTCTTAAGGCTAATATAGATATGGGAAGAAAAAAGCTATCCAAAATAGAAGAACACCTAGAAGACTCTATTAAAATTGCAGGACATATCGTAAATAATGTATTGGAAATGGAATATTTTAACATTAGTGTCGGATTTAACCAGGCGAGCATTGATGCGTTACATAATAATTTAAAAGGTTTTTTTGCATTAGCTCTTTCTCAAAATTATTTGCTATGTAACGAAATAAAAAAATTCGATTCGTATATGCTGGAAGTAATGGGAGAATTAAGCAGCAGGGGCGCAGTGAAGAACAGCAATAAAAAAATACAGGAGCTGACTTTGTTTAAGCTAGCAGAAAGCAATAAGCCTTTGGCCATAAATATACTGTATCACACTTTTATGTTGGATAAATTTAGTTCTAACACTAACATAAAAAGGGTAGCATATTGCATAATTAAAGAGATAACCGGCTACTTTCTCCTTTCGCATTTAAAAGACTATGAAAATGCGGTAATGGATGATATTGAAAAAGACGAAGTAGACCTACTGGCAGTGCTTGATAGAAATCTACACCTACTATTTAAATCGCTCAGGATCAATGAAGACGTAATGAGCATCTACTTTAGCTTGCTGAAGGAAGACATTTCTGAAGAAGAAATAACTCAATACAGAGATATAACGCCAGGGCAGATCGTAAAAGTGATAATGGTAGAATGTGCAATGCATGAAGACCGCATAGACTACAAAAGAAACAATACGTTCTGCAATCTCGGTAAAATAATAGTAAGCATAGGAAAGCCCAGTAACAATGGAAGTAGTTGCGAAGACGTGAAAGCAGCAAGAGAAAAACAAGATAAGATACTTGATGCGTTGAATCTTCTGTGGATTGAAAATAATGAAATCTACACAGAGTCATACAAGACATGTGATATCTTTATAGAAAAAATGAAGGCGCTAAGAAATGAAGTTGATTTTTTCTGCAAGGATAATGACATAAACAATGCTGACTTTGAGTCCTTGCAGCATCTTTTCATGAGTGCTAGATGGATGTACAAAGTGAATATAGTTAATCCACCGATGGAAAGGATTATAAATGACCGAAGAGTACTTAAAATGGTATACTTTGACACGTCCTACATTCACCCCATGCACTATATTTACCAGCGATGCGAAGATATCAGCCAACAATCTGAATGCATGAGATATTTTGCCAAAGTAGGCCCTAGCATCGATGAAAAACAGATCCCTTTCATGGAAGAAGACTCAAATGGCATTGCTACGCTTAGGCCGTACAAAATAAGCAAATTGGATAACGATTTAGTGCAAATAGACAAAATGAAAGATTGCATCAGAGCAACATTTTTGAAAAAAATTAAAATCATTAAAGGAGAGGACAGCAAAGAATACTGCGATATGGCCAATGCTTTTGAAAAGTATTTGAACAAGTCACAGTATGTGACTGAAGCTGAAATAATGCCCGAAGAGACAAGTGAGTCCAGAGTCAACGAAAGCAATCCTCTGCAGGATGACCGAATGGAAGTTGATGGTGATTTTGAGCCAGTCAAATAGTCAAGTCACTAAACGACCAGTGAACTAGTTTTCACCACTAAATAAAGCTACTACTTAACTACTCTTTTTTTCAGACACACTCTCTAGTTTTCGCATTCATAGATCATTCGAATTATGCCAGTATGTGAAGAGACAAACCTCAATCAACTTTTTATAATTTCTTAAAGAAGATAGCTATAACAGTATACAATAGCCATTTATTTCCTCTCGCTTCTACGTTAGATTTTCATCCAATGCACAAAACAACTCAACAGTAAAATGAAAGGCAAAAAGAGAGTAGAACTTGCTGCATGAAAGATCTACCCATCATTCTATATTGTTCATGGTCTATTCAAGAGCTAACTTTATAAACTATCTGGCAGTCTAATGACCCTAGTCAGTAAATCTATCTAGTTCTAACTAGAGACAGAGCATTCTTCGAATAATCCACTACTATACATCAGATATGCACTAGTTCTCTATCTTTTGTCTCCTCTTTTTAAGTAGCAGACCAGCTTTCCTCTGCTCTTTTCTTCTCCCAATAACTCTTCTGTCTTCTCCTGCAGGATGTCCATCACAGGCTTCCAGGACACTCGGAATATAGGGAGAAACCCAAAGCCAGGAATAAAAGACTTAGAAAGCCATTTGCGCGTGTTGGGGTCTGCAGGATACCCTGACCCAAGATCGTGCCAGTATTCTATTTCTCCGTAGAGCAGCTTCCACACTGCGTGTGTTTCTATGAATATGTCGCGAGACACCTTTGCCAAGATGCTTGCTGCTGCAACCACTTGGTAGCTTGAGTCTGCCTTCTCTTCCACCACTATTTTTTTAACTGTTCTGCATTGGCTTGTGCACTCCTTTATTATTTGAGCCAGTGCAACTTTAGGCCCAACTGTGTCGATGTATATTTCCTTTACTGGTATGTTCGATGAAATGCACGTCCTAAGCATCTTTTGTATGCAGGAGATAGAAAGATCGTTTAGATTCTGCTGATCTTTGCACACAAAAAGTGGATCAGTTGAGGCTGCTGCAGATGGTATAGGAGCATTCTGTGTTTCTATTTTTTGTGGGTTTTTCAGAAAGTGTGTGAGATTTTTGCTGTTTGCTTTCTGCGCAGATGCTCCACTGTGTGGCAGCTTTTGTTTCTTTCTTTGGCCCGTGGCTCTCAGTTTATTTGCTGCTTTTTTATCGAGAAGGTCTTTTTTATTGCACAGCATGTTGGCGCTTATAAAGAGAGGAGAGAGAAGACAAATGGTAAACCCAATATTTTCATTTTCAAGCAGCTCGGCGTACTGAGCCGTTCTTTTTTCTTTTTGCACTTTTTTTGAGTCATTGTACACTTTTGTGTCTGGGTCTTCTGTCCAGTACACCAGACTGTACACCATGGGCCCTGCTAAAGGCCCGCGTCCTGCCTCGTCTACTCCTATCATGTAGCTACTCCCTATAGAAGCAGGCCTTTTGGTGAGCGTGATGTTGTTGTATGAGTCTCTAGTTATTTCTATGCCCCTTGTGTGGCCCAGCGTTAAAAGACGTTTTAGCTCTTCGTTTTCATTTTCACTTTTTTCTTCTTTTGTTTTTGTGCCCATTGCTGCCATAATAATATTTGTAAATATTTTAAGCGATTTATGCCGTACGATATAGCCGTAAACATAACAGATGGGCAATACCTGGGAGAGTACCACCAAAAGAGCAAACATCCGTGCGACATACACAGCGTAATAAACAGAGCAGTGGAGAAGAACATTCAGATGGTTTTTCTGGGAACATCTGTGAACAGCTCGATAGAATCAGTGGCCCTGGGAAATGAGTATGGGCAGTATGCAGCAATAGGGATACACCCAGGATCTGCAGGAGGAACAACAGAGGAAGATGTGCAGAAAATAACAGACATTCTGGAAGATCAAAACATCGAAAAGAGCAGGAGTAGAATAAGAGGAGAAATACTTAAAATAGTCGGTGATAAGGCACTAGAGAGCATAAAAAGTGTAATAGCAATAGGAGAAATAGGGCTGGACTACTACAGAGAATACTCGCCAAAAGAAAAACAGAGAGAAGTGTTCTCCTCCATCCTCAAAAAAACTGCAAAGTACAAAATTCCCTACATATTTCACTACAGGGACTGCGAAGATGATTTTTTCGAAATAGTCCGCGAGTATGAGGTAGAGGGCGTAGTGCACTCTTTCACAGGAACAATAGAAGAAATGCACAGACTAGTTGGCAAAGGATACTACATAGGGATAAATGGGGCATCAATAAGAGAGAATGAAACCACAGGCGTAATAGAGAAAATACCAGATGATCGGCTGCTCATAGAGACAGATGCCCCGTGGTGCACAATAAGAAAAACCTCTAAGTACTCTGAGTTGGTAGGAAACTATCTTAAAACGAGCAAAAGATGGAAGGAGGGCGAAGGAGTGAAAGGAAGAAACGAGCCAGTGAATCTGCTCGAAGTAATTGACGTAGTTGCGGGAATAAGAAATATATCAAAAGAAGAGCTAGTGGAAAAGACAGACAGCAACTTTAAAAAACTGTTCAAATTGTAGAGAAAACAATGAGAATATTTTTATTATTTGCTCTTGATTTAGAAAATAATTTATTGAATTAGTCTTTAGTTTGCAATGCTGAATGTTATTGCAGCAATACAAGAGGTATTCACTGCGAACTACAACGAAATAGCACAGCAGAAACTGAAGAGATATCGTTTTAATTTTAGCTCAACACAAAGACTTCGTTTCTACTCTTTTCTCTCGTTGGGTGTTTTGGCCTGTGCCTTTCTGATCTTCTGCTTTACTCAGCCAGTCACAAGAATACTGATAAACCACACAGAGTGCACATCTAGAGAGTGCAGGTACACTTTTTCCGTAGGCACTCCACTGAATAAGCATACGTATTTGTACGGTATAGTCAAAGGAGCAGCACAGACACACATGAAGTACAGCCCAGATGATGATTCAAAGCTGATCGACAAAATAGCATCAAAAATGACAAACCAGGATGGCCAGGAAGAAGACGTACAGAAGATAGAAGAGTGCCGTCCATACATAGAAAACGGAGTGTGGATGTATCCCTGCGGCGTTCTTATGTCCACGTATCCATTCGATAAGTATTCCATACTCACCCAGCAGAATAAAGAAGTTCCCATGGTCTCAGACAGAAAGTCGCAGATCAAAAGCTGGATGAGTCCTTCCTCTTTCTCCTCTGCAAAGTACAAAATAGGAGAGATAGAAGGGCTGCAGCCAGGAGAGTATACTTTACTGGTGAAAAAACAGACAGAGCATCCCCTTCCTGAAAGATCGCTTTTGCTTGTGGGAAATATAGGAGTATTTGGCACAATATTCAGCAACGCAGGAATTTACATAATTATAACAGTCGTGCTGCTAGCTGTAGTAAATGCCGTTGCATGTGCTTACTATGTATAGACTCTCTTATCTTGCTGCTACATCCATACATTGATTGTGCATACCAGCTGGTAAGGAGCTACTGCTTACCTATGCAAATTTGCTATTGTGCAAATTAGATGATGGTATAATCTTATATAGAAGACTTTGTTGCAGTGTATTTCTATGGCTATATATGGTCTAATTAAATAAATAGCCTGAATAATAATGTTTATTGTCTGCTTCATGTACAGTGTACTCGCCAATACTTCAGCTCCATCTATTTTGTTTTGCTCGCTCTGTGCAAGCAGTGGCTTAGCCCAGTGCATCCTCCACCCCCAAAAACAGCCTTTTGTATCTCTGTGTTTCCTTCATTCTTGCGGGATCCATCTCCATTCGCACTAGCAGGCCCGAGAACGATATGTCTACTGTTTTTGTTCTGTCTTTTATTTCTGTTTTGTAGATTACGCCATTTCCCATGAGATACGAGTACTTCTCTGGGATGTCTTTTTCGCTGAAGTTATCTTCGTCGGAAAAAATAGCAACGTTTACTCTGTCCATCTTTTTGTGCGTGAACAGGCCTGTGTGGTAGTCCATCAGCATGCGGCACCCTTCCGACACAAACACCCCGCGGGATACCTCGTCAAACGCCTTTCCATCTGGATCAATCTCTGAAAGCGTGAAAGACTCGGAGAATATTTTCATGGCCAACAAAAAAACAAGAAATAAAAACATGAGAAAGACAAAAAGAGAGAAACATAGAATAAAGGCAGCAGGCCATGCACAGGCGCTGTCGCAGGAAATACTGGCAGGGCTCAGGCGGAATTCGCAGGAGCACGTCAGCATGGACGACGACTCTATGGAGAACATCGATGCGTACTGGAACATGGCAAACAAAGAGCTGGAGGAAATGGAGAGGAAGCAGTACGAGGATATAAGCATGCTGGAAACAATAAACGAAATAATAACGAAAAACAGCAGCGAAACAGAGAAAGAAAAAGAAGGCGAAGCAATGGACAGCGAGTTCTTCAGCACCCCGCACACAATAAGAAGAAGCTTTGACGACGAGTTTCAAGAGAACCTGCAGAATGTAGTTCTAACGGGATTCTCAGACTCTGAAGAAGAAAATGCAACATCGGTGCAGGAGAAAGAAAAGAAAGAAAAAGAAGAAGAAACAGCCAGTGCCATAGAACAAAGCAGCATAATGACCAAAGAAGATGATGAAAGTAGAAGCGAAAACATTGAAAAGACAGAAGAAAGTGCGCTATTCTTCATAGAAGAAATAAAAAGCCAGAAAGACAATGCCGAAATAAAAAACAGCGAAGTAAAGATCACAAAAGTAAGCATAAAGCCAAAAAAGGCTATGCGAATAAACAGCAAGAGTTTATACTACATAATCAGGGGAACAGTAATCGTAGAAGACAAAAACACGCCAAAGAAACAGAGAGTGTCTGCTGTATACCGCGCAAAGATAATAGAAGGAAGACAGCTGAAAGCTGGCTCCGTATTAAGCCATAGCCAATCAACTGTAGTATTATACAACCCAGGCATATCTGAATGCACCATGCTCGCACTTTCTAAAAACGAAAAGAAAGGAAGAAAAAGAAGCACAGGCTGAGGACAACAGAAAATAAAAAGTGTAGTAATTTTGAAAGAGCCACTGAATGAATATATACGGCAGTGCTGAAGTGTAAATTCAACTGTTAATCTTCAGATTTATTTGTAACCGATATCTTGTAAATCTCTTGCTTACAGACATTCATCTGCAGATGCTATCCTCATATGTCTGCAGAGGATTCTAGTCCTATGAGTGCTATTCGCGTCCTTCTTTTCTGATGGAATTTATTTCTACTCCTTTTTCTCTGCTTTTTCTCTCCTGGAGTCTCTCCAAACACCTCCCATTTTGAATTTAATCGTACTTTTCTGTACTTGTATATGCTCTCTGATCAAATGGGCACTTTGCGATCTTTTCATTTGAAAAATAAAGTAATCACACTCTACACTTGAACTAGTGCGAATAATTTGTTGTGCTATTTTTAAAGTTGATTTATTTCTCTAGTGCAAATAATAGTGAAAAGTTCGCAGGATCTGTGATCACTTTTTTATTTGCAAAATACATTGCAGGACTGCACAAATAAACACTCAATGCTCATCAGTAAACAAAATAGTGAGCACACGAATAATTAGCAATACTAGCGGAGGTCCTGCATACTCCTGAATTCCTCTCTCTTTTCGGACGGACCAATTAGAGCATCAGGAGAATAACAGAAACTCTTCCATTGGACTGTGTGATTTAGTCCTCCAATTATTAATTGCTAATTAATCCGCAATACATTAATTATTAATTACATTCTCTGGGAAATGATTCAAGAGCATGTGAGGAGAGTGCAATCTTGGTACAATTTAACAGGGCCTAAAATAGCGTGCCTTCTCGTGTTTATCTTTATATTCGTGGTGACAATGTTCTTTGTCAATGTGTCCGCTAACATTTCGTCGTTCTGGTCTCCCATGAAGGCGTACAACCACTCGCTGCAAGACACTGGGTGCGACTTCTTCAATAACGGATACCAATCAGAGTCTAACTACAACAACGTGGTGGACATAATTATGATCTGTTTCCTTGCCATCTCAATCTTTTTTATTCTTATAAATCGGCTGGCTGTGTTTATTGCGCTGAAGCTTCTGGGCTGTCTGAGTCTAACGTACTTGCTCAGATGCATCACTCTCATGTTCACAGCCTTGCCTGACTCGTGGGACTTGGGCATAAGAACCATTTGCAACACTTTCTCTGAGATGTCTCGAGACAGAGGAGGAGATTTAATATTCAGTGGACACACTTTGCTTGTCTGCACCTTTGCCCACTGCTGGTCTTCCTTCTACATAATCAGCGATTCCTTCGCTTTCCACGTTATATCGGCAATATGTGCATGGATTGTTGCAGTTACCATCTTTGTATTTATAGTTGTTGGCAGACTGCACTACACGATAGACGTGCTTCTTGGGATATACATTGCAAGCGGAGTGTGGTGGAGTTCAGACTATTTCCTGACGAGATACTTTGAGCTGCCGGTGTGCAAGCTCAAGTTCAGAGAAGAAAGAATACCTGCAATGATAAGCTCGTCCTGCGATGACACTGCAGTAGATGTGGAGCAGCCTGTGGGTGTAGAGCACGTATAATCTATTTTTGGTAGAGGAAAAGCTGTAAAAATTGCTAGAATAATAAATACAAAAATGTGTAAATTCTCGGAAAGTGGACAAGTTTTTATTTTTATTTTATTTACACCAGCTACTCCCTGTGGCTCAGCTGCTGGTAGATGCTCTCAAATATGAAGTATTTTGTGCTGTTGACTTTCTTGCAATAGTTGAAGAGGCTGCTGCAGGAGATTGGCTCTATCTGCGACGTTCCCTCTGTTTTGTGTATGGTGTGTCCGTGTATCTTTCCATCTACAAAGACCAGGGTAATTACGACGGTTTTTTCTTTCTGTTTTGACAGCAGCTTTATGCTTATCTCGTTTGTATTCTCTTTTTTCTCTTTCTTCCCGTTCTCGATGCTTGTGTACACGGCCTCCTGGTGTTTGTGGATGCTCTGTCTCACATCGATCACTCTGATTCCCACTAGCTTGTAGAATACGCTAATGAACTGTTTGTACCAGTTGTACTGGTAAACCAGCTGCTGGTTTGCTGTTTTTTGCAGATCCTTCAGTCTTTCCTGTAAAAAGGTTTTCTGCGACATTAGTGACTCTTTGGCAGATAGCTTTGTGTTTACCGTTTGTTTTTTTGCGCTAATCTCATTCTCCGTTTCTTCGATTTTTTGTTTTATCTGTCTTATTTTTTCCACTCTGAACTCGTGCTCCCTTTTTATTTCTGTGAACTTCTTAAGCGTCTTTTCAGTGTTTGATATTTCATCAATTCTTTTCTTCATAACTATCTCTTTCTCTCTTGTTGCTCTTAGAGCGTTCTCCTGTCTCTCTGCCTGCTCTCTAAGCTGGATGACCTCTTGCGATATTTTCTCAAACCTCTTCCTCAGCTCTTCTATTCTTTTTTTTGTCTCTACAAGCTCTTCTTTCTGGCTGGTAGCTTCTTCTTCTTCCTTCTGTCCTCTCAGTCTTTTCAGAAAAATAGACTTGTGCAGAACCTCGATGTAGTTGAACTTCATGTTGGCCAGGTACTCCTTGGAGTGTCTCATGTCGTGCTCTATGGTGTCATAAATACTCATTGAGTGGTTGGCATCGCTTGTGTTCATAATAAAAAATTAAAAAACACGAGAACACTTCAATTCATTCCTGGGAAGCTTCTTTGAACCAACAGAAAGAGTAAAGAAAGTAAGAAAATGTGTGCACAGAATAAACATGCATTGCTAGACATGATGATGCTTTCACTATTCTGACTGAAACTTAGAATAATACATATATCTCTTTACCTTTTCATTACCCTTTGGAAATACGTAAGTGCTATTTCTCTTTTATTCTCTCTGATTAACTGTGAAAATAGGAGCGATAAAACTTCTCTAGAGTGCTTTTTATCTGAAATGCCTGATTTATTTATCGTTTGTTCTGTACTCTTTCTGCTGTTTTTGTTATTTTGCATAGTCTACTTTGGAGGACTTGTTGGTGTTGTACTGCACTTCGATGTCCTCTTTTGCCTTGCTTAGATTGTAGATCAGATCCACCATCTTTGTCTCCACTGAGTGGACTGTTTTCTCCAAATTGTCTACCTTCTCTCGAAATATCTTCATCAGATTGGTCAGCTCATTCACTCTCTGGCCCAGCTCTTTTTCGCTCTCCTCTCGTCTTCCTTCTCTTTCCATTTCCATTACAAATTTTTATTATTCAACACTAGATAAATACAGAAGCCTAGAAAACAGTGAGAACAGCACAAACATTAAGAGAGCAAATACTCCAGTGCACTTATCAATCCTCTCTATCACAGCGTGTATTTTTATTCCTTTATTTCTTTTTTACTTTTTCTCTTCCATTTTGTTCTCATGTTTGTTGTAAAGTGTGTGCGGTATTAAATATCCGTGCATGTGCGGTTTGATCTGCTTTCCCACTTCTTTCTGCAGATTCAGCTCCACCAGCTCTTCTTCCGTTATAAATCTGTACTGGTCGTAGTAAGTCATCTTCTGCATCTCGTCCATCTCCTCAGTTGCTCCCTCCAAGTTGCTGCACCATTTGGGTATAGACCCCAGCGAAGGAACATAGTAAGTTTTCATTTCTGCCGCAGTTCCTCCCAGGAAAAGAATGCCCTCAGACACAGCAAAGGAGTTTGCGTCAAAACTGGGCTGCACTGCTGCCAGCACTTTTCCTGTGGCTCTTTCCCACACCTTCACGCCTTTTTTATCAAGAGATATAACATTTTTGTTTTTTATCTGCACCTTCTTGATTCTGAAATCATAGTTGTGGTCTTTCTCTATCAGAGGGACTGGACTGCGCATGTCGTAAACTGATATAAGTCCGCCTTCAGTTCCCACAGCAAATATTAGCCCGTCTTCTGAAAAAGTGCACGATGTGGCTGAAGTGTCTAAAGCCAAACTGTTCACCATTTCGTTGCATCTTCTGTCTATAAACTCGCATACTCCTGCGTTTTCTGAGGTGCTCCCTGCAACAGCATATAAAGTGTTTGTCGTGTTTATGGCTATTTCTTCAGAGCTTTCCACTTTTGTTTTTATTGTTGGGCAAAACTTTCCTGCCTCTGTGCTGAAAACGTAGACATCTCCTGCTTTGCCTGCTGAGAGAATATTTGCGTTTATTCTGTCTGCTTTTATGTCTCGGCACTGCTGTGGGAGGTTTACTGTTTCGTGCTTTCCAAACTGCGACTGAAACTCGATCTTTCCCGAGCTGTGGAGAAGTGCTATTTTCGTCCAGTCTTCTCCTAAGAAAGTGCCCTTTATAAGTTCATCGTCCGAGTGTCTCTCAAGCTTCTGTGTGTGCTCTCTCAGGTCAAATAGAGAAATGCACGGCTTGTATCCCCCCACTGCCAGGAGGGTCTTGTTATCTAGGCTTATTTCTAGGTCTGTGCAATACGTTGGAAATTCAAATCCGTGCAGGATGGACACTTCCGTTGAGTTTGCCATTGTAAAATATTTTAAAAAATCATGCAATAATACTCTGCGAATTGTTCAGCAGTTTTTCAGAAAATATTTGCCAAGATTCTCACCAACAGCTCCAAGTGGTTTATTTCAATAGGCGTAACTTATTAATAAAAGTACACCTTTTTTCCCATGCAGATAGCAAATCTAGAGAAGAAAGAGTAAAAAAGTCTACAGAAAGGATTTGTAATGGTTTATTGTTCTAATGCTGTAGTTATTCTTTATTGTTCTCTTTGGCGCTTTCTTTCAATGCCTCTTCTGCTCTCGAGATGACTTCCTTGGGGAACCCCATTACCTGCGCCGTGTTTATTCCATGCGACGAGTCTGCTTTTCCATCCTCCATTTTGTACGTCATTACCACACGGTTGTTCTTTGCTATTCCTCCCACTTTTTTATTCTCCACTCCTGGAGTGTCTGCCAGTTCGTGGAAGTGCGTTGCAAAAAGCGTCACTGCGTTTATCCTTATAAGATGCTCTACAGTTGCTGCTGCAATTGCAAATCCGTCTTCATCGCTTGTTCCTCTGCCAAGCTCATCGATGATGACAAGAGAGTGTTCGGTTGCCTGGTTTAGAATATTGGATACATCGACCATTTCAGCCATAAATGTGCTCATTCCTTTTTCTGCATTATCAGAGGCCCCCATGCGTATAAATATCTGTGTGAAGATGGGAATGTGCGCATAGTCAGCGGGAACATACGAGCCTATCTGCGCAAGTATGGAGACAACACCTACGCTTTTGAGAAAGGTGGTCTTCCCTCCCATGTTTGCTCCCGTGATTATGCACACTCTTTTTTCTCGAGATATTTCCAGACTGTTTCTTACAGGCTCTTGGACATGCTTGATGTTCTGCAGCATCTTTCTTCTGTATAGAACAGGAAGCAGGGGATGCATCATGTTAGATATTTTGTACTTTCCGTCTTTAGAAAACATGGGGCACACAAATTCGTTGCTGTTCGCATAGTCTGCTAGACTGCAAAATACATCACAGGTTGCTACGGTGTGGTTCATTATTTCCAGCCATCCCCTGTACAGCATAAATGAGTCAGCAAGCATTCTAAGAACCACCGAGTGCTCTACATGTATGTCTCTTTTTGTGCTTTGTATCTTGTGGTTTATTCTTTTTATGGACTCGGTTGTAAATAGCACACCTGACTTTTGGACTGCAATCTTAATCTGCGACGTAAGCCTTCCTTCTTCGATTCTTGGTATTCTTATGCAGTATCCATGCATGCTTGTGTTTTCCAGCTTTGGCTTTGCCTTTTCCAGCGAACTTTTTTTTATTTCTTCGGTATACTCTGCGAATAGCTCCTGCTCTTGCTGTCTCAAAAGGCCTGACAGTATTTTTAGTTTTTCTGATGAGGTTTCTTTTATTTCCTGTGTGGACATGTCTACAATCTCTTCTATTTCTTCCTTTAGACTCTGTGTATATGCCAAGGCATCCTGCATTATCTGCACCTCGTGCGCGAGAGACCGTATGTCCTGCAGAGAGCTTGAAATGTGGGAGATGGAGAGTATGAATTTGTGGAGCTTTACTGCGCTCTGGATGGAGATAGTGGGGGCCTGTTTTTTGCAGATTGTGTATACATCAGGTGCTGATTTTATTACTTTCCTAAACTGGAAAATGTTGTGTGTATTTTGCAGTATTTCTGTTATGATAGACTGTCTTCTTTCTATCTCTTCAACCTCTGTGGTGGGCGAGCGCAGGAACATTTGAAGCAGTCTTTTGCCCTGGGGCGTGCTGCAGTTTATTTCATCCTCTATTTTTATTTCTCCCCCCAGCAGAGACTCTGCTGCTTTGTCGTCCATTCTCAGTGTATTTACCAGAGACTCATTCTTTACCACATAGTTCGCTGTATTTATGTTCAAATGGGCCTCAAGAAGATCCAGCACAGAAGAAGATGATTTTTTTGCAATTTTGTAGTGGATAATGCCAAGAGCCGTGAACACCTTTGTAAATGCGCTGTCGGTATATATTATTTCTTTAATGTTCTGCTGGTGGATGAGCTGTGCCAGGTTTGTAAACAGTTCGTTGTCTGCGAACGTGTATATACTAGCCTCTTTGTCTACGGTAGAGACAGATGCGACTGTTATATTCAAAGTGTAACTATTTTCGAGGAGTACGCTTCCTATCCTTGTTATTTCTTGGTTGTTTACTAAAATGTCTAAATAATCAGACCAGTTTCCAGGAGATCCTTCTTTTATTTTTACTTCTTCATTATTTATTACGGTGTACTCCTGCAGGGTTTCTTTGTACTCGTTTATTATCACGGGAATGGCCTTGTAAAAAGTGTCGCATGTTATTGTTATGTTTCCTTCTCCCTTCTCGTTGAGCACTTCTCTGAGAATCCGGGCAGAGTCGCCCTTTGCTGTGTAGCTGTCTCCTTGTAAGAGAATTTTAAGCATGCAGCTAAAAAATATTCTAGCTAAATGCGCTGCTGTTGGGCTAAGTCTAGAGAATAGATGTCTAATGTAAAGTTCCAGTGGTGAGTGTAGAACAGAATGTGAATGTCTTTATTTAGTGTTGACAGTAGCTATACATGTTGAATAAGTGCAGGCGTGCGTTGAATCTTTCTTCTAGGATAGCACACTCTGATTATCTTCATCAGCGAAGAAGTGGCTGTCCACTATTACACTTACCAGAGCTTTAAATTCTTCATTGGACTCGTTTATTCGGTGCTGAACTATTGTTGGAAAAGGGAAAAAATGATTGCTGCATCTGTAGCACACCCATACTATATCTATTGAAGGGTTGGGGTCCTTCCAGATATATAGCAATTACTTTTCAGATTTATCATTCTTCCTTTTTTAGACAGCTGGAGTACTTCAGCATTTTGCATGCATACTCAAGCATCGATATCTTATTCCCCACCCGCTTCTCTTTTATCAGCCCGTCGATTGCTGCAAACACTCTTTCTCTTCTTTCCAAGGCCAGGAACTCCCTCAGCTTCTCGCACGTCTCAGGGTTTTTGTACGCCAGAAGCAAAAACAGGTCGTGGTTGCTTGTTATGTCCTGTCCGTTCTGTATCGAGTTGCGCCCAAACTCCAGCGCCTTTTCTGGCTGGTTGTTCCGCACATACTCGATGAATATTTGGCTGAATATAAAAGAAGTTACATGCGGATGCTTTTTCAGTAAATTGGGGTAGTTTTTGTTCACCAGGGAGTACATTTTTTCGATCTCTCCAGACAAACAAAGCTGTTTCATTTCCTCCCGCGTGCTCAGCAAGTCGTCTTTTGCGTGGTTCAGCGCCTCCAGTGTCTCCGTGTGGCACTCAAAAATCAAGTAGTCTACTATTGCATTGAGCTCCCTTGATATTTTTTTGTTCATTTGTTTATAGTTTAATATCCGGGTTATTATTGTTTTTATTGAATTACAGCAATTCGAACCTAACTTAGCGCGGGCATTTCTTTCTGCTAGCACAGCACTCTGCTCCATTAGATATATAGCATCCGCTGCGAGTGGTGATCTGTTCTTGAATGGTGTGTTATTCTATAGCGTGTGCTTCTAGTTTGCTATTTTTCAGTTTTTGGCTCATTTGTAGATAGTCGATGGGATCTGTTTTCAGGGTTGTGTATGGCACTTTCTTAAGGAGTTTTTCTGCTAGGCTAAGCACCTCGTGCGGGTTGAGTCTTGCCACTTCCAGGCTTGTTATTGTCTCCATCTCCTCCTCTTCTATTATTCTATCTCTCAGAACAATCAGCATTCCCGCACAGAAGTACGGAATCAGTTTCCTTTTTGGGGCCTCCTTGAAGAACCGCTCCCACAGCAGAAAAGTGTCCTCGAGTGTAAACTCTGCAGAGAAAAGCAAAACCATCCACCGAATGTGGAAGGCGCCCTTTCCAAATAAGTCTTTCTTTTTTATTTTTGTGTACAGCTTCTTGTCCACTTTCCAGAGTATCTGCATCACGCTCTTCTGCTCTCCCCGCAGGCCCGTTTCTGCATCGTCCATTTTCTCGGTGAAGTAGTCGCCAAACTCAACCATCAGATGGAAAAAACAAAAATAAGCAACGGCCTCGCTGTACACCCAGTCATCATGCGAGACCACATAGTAAATAATTGAGCAAATGATGTTCATGCCCTGCACATATCCAATGGACTGGTTTGTGTGTGCAAACACTTTGAGGATTCTGGCTACCACATCCCCTGCCCTCTCTCCATCTATTTTTTCGTCCAAATAGTTTCTGTGGAGACCGTGCACTGGCGATATTCTGGTCCTGCGGATGTCTTTGTTTATCAGATCAACCACTGACTCAGAGGTATTTGCGTCTTGCACATACTCTCTGTAGATTTCATCCATTTTTGACAGGGGAGTCTCTGCTATGCCAGGAATTAACAGCGCCATCCACAGCGCTCTTCTTGTCTTTGGAGACGTATCCTTCTTTTTACCCTGTTTCATCCTGTTTTTTTATTTTGTTCTTTTTATTCCTACTAGAGACTGCAGAGAATAAGATCTTTTCTTTAGATTTTATTTTAGAAGTAGGACTAAACAGTAGAATTTAATCTCTCTCTTATAACCGTCTTTGTCTGAAAAACTCTGCTTTAAAAAGCATTCTACTTCTCGATCAGTATAGAGTTTTAATTCTTCCACATTCTATCTTATATCTGCACAAATATGATTTAATAGCTCTGGAAGATGGCCAACTGTGCAATTTGTTGCCAATAAATAATAATTTACTTTTTATTCTTTACTTTCAGTATGAAGCACCGGGTTATCCTCGTTAATGGCGGAGTTGAAAGAAACATAGCAGCAATACACAGCATGGGCGACGATCTAGTGCCGCCCTTGAAGCTCTTTCGCGACCCTCTTCTGGTGATTCCTGATGAAGAGCCTGCGCCTGTGAACCCTCCAAAAATGACCAGAAAAAAGGCAGAGATACTCGAGTACGAAGAGCCAGAGGACATACAGATGCGAAAAGAAGAGAGAATCCCGTGGCTGCTCGAGGACAGCGAGCAGAGGGCGTTTGTTGGAAGAAAGATGCAAACAAAAGTGTCAGAGTCTTCGAAAAGCGCGTACTATGCGATGATAAAAGATAAAAACGACATAAAACTCTACAAAATCAGCAAGTGGTACAAGTTTTCTCCAAAAATCCAGTATGAAACACTGACTCTGGAGGAGGCAGAGGAAAGAATGCAGAAAAGAACAAAGGACACAAACACAGAGAAAGACGCGCCGAAGAGGCAAGTTGAAGAGTACAAAGAAGACGAGCTGGAGTACAAAGAAGTGTTTGATGACGACGATGGCGAGGTTGACGTAGAAAGAACAGTAACGCCGGAAAGAAAGAAGAAAAAGCTGGACTCTGCTGGAAAAGACCTGAAAAAGCTTGTAAAGAACTACGAAGACTACGAGTCCAAGTCGTCAAACGAAGAGTCGTCCACGGACGAGGCAGAGATGGAAGAGACAAACAGGGAGATAACTGAAACAGACATAAAGATGCATCTTTATGCAGGCCCTATCTCCATCAAGAGTCTAATAGAAAAGTTCAAGAACCGGTTTAGAAACAACCCAAAATCAAAAGAAACCTTCAGGATGCTCGTTAAGAAGATGTGCGTGATAAAAACAGACGCCAAAACAGGAGACAAAGTCCTTGCCCTTAAAGAGAACGAAGAATAGAATATATCGCACTTGTCCACATCCCACACAACAAAAAGAATAAAAGAATTTACATTATCCAACTGTATTTAGTAGAAGAAAATCTGTGCAGGCCAAGAGCCCAAAACAAAAAAAAACAAAGATGGAAACAAAAATAAAACCCAGGGTGAAAACAACAAATCCAAACAAAACAAAAATACAGAATGGCAGAAGTAGCAGACAAGAAGCACCATTTTAACAAAGAAAAAAGAATGCAGGCCATTTTTGAACTGTTTGAGTCTGAGTCAGAGTATGCATACGATCTAACCCTGTGGACACGAACCATAAAACATCTTGTCGTAAACACCTCCTCTCTTGAGGTGTACAGCAAACAAATATTTCTCTCAAATGTCATTGGAAACTCCGACGAGCTATTCAAGCTGCACGACACAATTCTTCTTTTCATTCTCAACAAGCTAAGCATCACCCGGAACACCCCCAAAGATGTTTTTCTTCGGCTGGACATATCGAGCCAAAGTCTTTCGGAAATTCTCCATGCTTTTATTGTCCGCAAGGACATTATTTCAAAAGTCTACATAGAATACGCAACACGAATACCCCAGGCCACAGGAACAATGGCATTTCTTCTCGAGCAGAACAAAAGCTTTAATGCGGAAGTGTCGGACGTTCTCCACAGAATAAATAGATTGCACTTGGGGTGTTCTCACTTTATCATGAGGCCCATGCAGAAAATAACAAGATATCCGCTGCTGATGCAGGCCATCTTGAAGTATGCCCTGCCAGAGGAGATACCTGATCTGCAGACAGCCATAATGCACATCCAGCAGATAAACATGCAGGTAAACCAGAACGTGCAATACTCCACAGAGTACTTTACGCTGTACCACTTGGCACACGAGATACAATATGCAGAAAAGCCGTTATTTTCTGTTGGGATGATGCAGAAGGAAAGAAAGCTCGTAAAGCTGGAAAACGACATACTTGTTAAAACAAACAAAGGAACAAAGTCTGTGTCAATTGTTATCCTGGACAACGCAGTGTTCTTCGTGGAGTGCGTGATAACAATCAGAGGAATATACAAAAACACTCTGAAGACTCTGATGGATAACAAGTACATGGCGCCAGACACAATTACAACAAGGAGAATAGAAGGAACAGTGGGAGGCGAAGAAAATCGAGGAGACGCAGAGTCTTTTCTGGAAATAACGTCAAATGGAGACAAGTATCTTGTTTGCAGCAGAGAGTGGATTATTGACGAGCTGGAGGAGGCGATAGAAGAGGTAAAAACTGTGCAGAAATCAAAGATGTACAACTTTCGACTGGAAGAGCTGTCCACGGGAATAACAGCAGAAGGCGTATCCATGTCGTTCATCACACCGGTGAGCATTGAAGAGTGGAGCCTCAGAGGAATAGGAACACTTATCGTTGGAACCAACGAGTATCTAGAGCTGATCTCAGGCTATAACAAGCTAAGAATATTCGACAAAAAGTGCGAGAATGTGGTGTATAATAGGAAAGTGTCTTCAGTGTTCTACGGGCACAAGGGATATGTGTATGCTCTGCCAATCGACGGATCACTAGCAGACACAGCTGAGTACGAAGAGGATGCTGAGTATGATGATGCCAATGCTGAAACGGGAAATAGTACTGATCTCAATGCAAACTCTAATAACAATGGAGTTGGCAATTCTGTTGGCAATTCTGAGACAGACAGTAGTAAAAACGCAGCAACACTTGGTTCCAATAAGACCGCCAGTAATAATGATGATTCTAATAACAGCAGTAATACATGCATAGACAAGCCTGCAGAAGATGCTAAGAAGGGTGGCAAAAAGACAGGTGATAATAATGCACAGAATAAAGAGACTAGAGACCTTACTGATAATAATGCCGGTGAAAAGAATGCTAAGAAAGATAGAGGCGATAGTGAGAGCATAGATAATCCAAATAAAGGTCAAAAAATGAGTAATGCTGGAAATGCTGGAAATGATAAGACAGGTGATTCTAAGAAAGATAACGAAAAAAGTGGTGGCACTGCAAATGCTCATTCTGATGCCAATGATAGCAACGGCAATACTTCTGATTCTGTTGAAAGCACAGAAAAAAATAAAAAGAAGGATAAAACCGAGTCTGCCTTGAACACTGAAGAAGGCTCAAAAAAGAGGAAAAAAAGTGAGAAAGCTAAACACTATGAAACCAACACGGTCTCTGACAATAGAATCGACAGCTCAAGCGAAAGCAGCAGCAAGAGCGAAGAGTCTGAAAAAGACAGAGAAACTGAAGAAGACAGCGCAGCTGAAGAAGCTATTCCTGAGGAGACTGCAGAAGTTGTTAAGAAAAACACGTCTCGGGTTATATCAATGCTCATACTCGCTGCTTCTGTTAAGGATCAGCCTAAAAGCATGATAAAAAGCTCTGATATGTTCTTTATCAGAGAGGCGCCCGATGCAGGCGATGGCGTATTTTTAGTAGCCAAGAAAATAGGATACTTGGGGTCTGAGGAGCTGGTCATCCTGAAAATAGACGTGGGACAGAATGGAAATGCGTCAAAATCAATGTACAAACGGATGTACATTGCAGGCAATGTGAAAGACGTTTCTTTTTTTGGCAAGAACATGGTTATATCTTCAAACGACTTTGAGCTGATCGATCTAGTTGATTTGACAACACAGGAGCTGCTAGACCCTCTGGACAAGACAATTGCGATATACGTGAACAAGATAGACAGCACTCCTCTGTTCATGGAAAAAACAGAAGAGAATGTGTACCTCGTGGCTTTTGACGACGTGGGCTTTTTCATCAACAGGCTTGGGTCAAGAAAGAGGGCACACATTGTTTTTCTGTGGCTGATGCAGATTAGATCCGTGTTTATTTTTAAAGAGTTTGTTGTGGCTCTGGGAGAGAAACAGGTGAAAATATTCTCGCTGAAGGACGGGATGATGCGCGGCATATTTGACATCGAAAACGGGAGGCATCTAGAGCACCCTGACTATATTATTATCTACAACGACACAAAGATCTACAGAATCACATTCCTTGATCAGCCCAGCATCTAAATAACTAATAAAATACTATTTTGATTTTCATTGCGCTCTCTATTCAGAGGAAGTGGCGGTGTATCCTGCACATCCTTTTTAGCACTTTCTTTCTTTGATGATGCTAATGCTAGTTACTCTGCTATTTTGAGTATTTTTACTGTTTTAAGCAGCAGAGAATAGCACCAATTTTATTTTACAGTGTAAGAAAACAGACTTAAACAAAAATAAAACAACTCATCCAGCTTGCTGAAGAGTAAAGAAGTTTTTCTAATTTTATTTGCAAATTTTTCTTGTAAGTCTTTTCCTGCCGCATTAATTTTACAAGAGCAAATGTTCAAGAGATACAAACTTAAGCCAAAAGTAGTAAAACCGCTGCTTCTTAGATCAAAGACAGTGGGTGTTTCCAAGAGAATATCCGACGAGCTTCTCAAAATACTGAGCATGCTGAAACACTCTTCCTCCACCATTAGAATGCGAGGAGCAAGAGAGGCAGACAGCTTGGAGTGCATCCCAGAGGAGATGATCCGAGAAATAATGAAAATGTGCAAAAGCGACAAAAAAGAAGTGCGGTCGCTGTTCTATCGAATTACAAACAAGTTTCTTGGCAAAGCCCTCCCTGCAGAGCTGAAGAACTGGGAGGAGTACATCATGCTGTACTTGGAGACAATGATGACATGCACAATGATTGATGTGAGAAAAGACAGCCTGAACTTGCTCGACATTTCTATGAAATATTTTCCAGAGAAGGTCAATGGAATGAAACAGGAGCTGCTGGGCTGGCTGGACAACGACCAAAAGATAGTATCGCTAGATCTAAAGTACACAGAGTGGAGCAAAGAGATAGTCAAAAGACAAAAAACACTTCTATCGCTGCAAAAAACAAAACACATTTCTGTGCGGTTTGATAGCAAGATATACCTGCTGCACAGTGGAGTGTTTATTGATGGAGTGTACAAAAGCCTGCAATAGAATAAAAATAGGAATTGTTAATTGGCATAGAGTTATTTGTTTTTATAGTTATTTAAGCCATCTGTAGACTAAATGTGTACTGTGCGTGCTGAAAAAGCCTAAGAAGTATGCCGTTGCACACTCTTACTTTTCTAGTCTGCTGGTTTATTGCACAAAATACCTGTTTAGACACTAGTTGCAAAAATTTATAGAATCATTCATAAAAATTTACAGTGTAATGGACGTAGAAACACTGGACGAGAATAAAGTTGAAATAGTATTCAATGTTGAGGAGATACTAAAACAGTTTCAATATGTATGCATGCCTCCTATAGGAAGCGATCTGTCTTTGTGCTCGGAAGTAGAGGACTTTGATATGTTCCATCGCGTTTTTAACAGCAATATAACTGCTAGAGTCAGCACAGCCACACCGCAAGTGCTTGAAATGATAAAGGAGCTGCTAGAGCTACGGCTTTACTACGATTTAAAATACGATGATAAAAATGCCGCATATTCTCAAAGTATGAAGGTAAAGGATGCCCTGTTTACAAAGGAATACAGCAAGCGCTCCATCAAAACCATAAAAGACAACATCCATAGCTCCAAAATAGTATACCGCAACAACAGAGAAGAAAAAACAGTAAAAACAAATTTAATGACAGAATTCAACTTGTGGTATCGATGCCTACAGAAGATCAGAGATGTGTATATTAATGAGCAGAGGTATATAGAGCTTTGCACTGATACTTTAAGGTCAAAAATACACGCCATTGAAATATTGCATCTCAATAGTCTCGGATACCATATGGAAATAATAGAAAATTCTTACGACAAAGTAATACAGAAAAGTGGAGAAGACAGCTCAGATGGCCTTTTCACACTGGATGAGCTGTACAGTAAAACCATCGATGGAGTTCCATTGGTGGACTTTGGAATAAGGTACATGCACGAGAATACGGCAGCAATAAAAGACCTCTCATATGTTTTTTACGACGCATACTATGCAAAAGAAAAGCTAGAGCTGCAAGAGCTGGAGAAGAACAAGCAGAGTACGCTGTCTGAATACATGAAACTAATCAGATCGATTCACAGATACAAGAAAGAGATAAAAAATGAAAAAGACGCATTTGACATCATTGCAGAGCTGTTGAATCACCAAATGCTCCATCTTCCTTCGGCCTTAGATAGCAATAAACACGCTTTATCCAAGGAGGAGATGGAGGACATTTGTAAATATGGATGCATAGGAAGCAGCGTAAAAGACTACATTGATTTAGTGTGCGAGGTGTGCTTAGGCAGCGCAAATAAAGAAGAATGGAGAAAAAAACAAGACGAACTATACAGCATGTATAGAAATAAGGCTAATAACGCTATAAAAGAAACAGTGCAAGGTATAAATGAGCTGAAAGAACAAATAAACAGGCATTTTGGGTATGACGTCCCTGTCCATGAAATTATAGATGGAAGTATTGCTAAAAACAGTGATTCGATAAAAATGCAATTTGCATCTTTCAGGTGCTTGAAGAAAGAAAAAAGGCTCTTGACGTATGCTTTGTCTTCTCTAATGGACCATAGCCGTAAAGATATAAAATCACTTGATGTACTGGATAAACAGCTGGCAGAGCTGTCGTCACTCCAAAAACAATACATAGCTAGAAAGGCACACAGATGCACCGATGTGCTGATGATCGTACCAATCAAAAAAGAAGTGGATGAGAAAATAGCTAAGATTATGCTCCGCGTGCATCTGTGTATTTTCATTTTAGTTTTTATGCTAGTTATACTTACCCTTCCAGCTGTTTACATGGTAAAAAATAGGGTAAGTGAGTTGAGTATGCGATGGCAGCTGTTACTCTAGTAATCTAGCATTTGTCAAATGCACTGGTAAATGCTTTGTAGGAGAATTGGATCAAATCCATCTTCTTTCAGCAGGATTGGTCAACATTATAAAAAATAAACAATTTCTTCTGCTATAAGCTTTTAGAAAAAATCATTTGATAAGAGTGCACTTAAACTATTTCTAAAATATTCAGAGAATATTGAATTCTTTTGATAGATAGCACTGTAGAAAGGCTGAATATTTTTTAAGCTGCAAATGTAACTAGAAATATTAATATATCTTATTTAGAATTATCGTGATCATTTTGCTCCAGATCATTTCTATTAAGATAGCGCGGACATAAATACGACATATTCAGAACTTAAAGAGAAAAAGGATAACCAGACGATAAACACATTGGTATATGTCATCAAGACGCACAGTAAATATCCTATAATCGGCAGCTGCAAGTCTGCATCTAATAAGCCACCACACTATTGTCAGACCAGTTCACTCATCTATTTTTATATTAAGAGTGATGTAGTTCTATTATAGAGTCACCATAGCTATATTCTCGAGTTATATACAAAAATAAAAAATAGTCATTGAAATTTTACTACTGAGTAAAAATACTCATGTGCTAGAAGAAATAGTAAATTGAAAGCCAAATGTTTTATTTATAGCTTGCCACTGATGCAAGTAGTATAAATACTACTTGCCCAGGAATAAATACTCTTGCAACTAAGCGGAAGTGTTTGAAATGACTCTGCTCCCTAGGAACAAACTGTCCTTTAATTTCTGGAAGAATACAGGAATATATTCACCTACAGGCATCTTTGAATTGAGATAACAGGTCATGAACACAAATCCTGTTCCCGCAATAATTGATAGAACAGGAAGAACAATGAACCAGTACTTGCTGAGAGATTTTAGCACCCAGCAGTTTGCATCATATACTAATAGTTTATATGGTTCATCTAAATAAATTGTTTCCTCTAAATGCATATTATAACCAACCTCATCTTCAACATATTTCAGATTTTCTTTCAAAGTTTCAATTTCTTTTTTTAGTTCATCTATTTTCTCTTTGTTCTGAGATACTCCTTTACTATTCAATTTAGCTAGTTCTTGGTTTTTTATATCTATTCTTTTATCATGTGCCTTCTTAATACTATTATAAAACTTTATATCAATATAAATTTTTACAATATTAACTAATTTGTAAACAAATCCTATATTGCAAAATGTAGTCATGAAAAAAAGTAATGACACTACAGATACACATGTCATGTTAGGCTTTACTAGTTGAACCCAGCCAGTAAATATGAACGACATGACGATAATAAAAACTGTTCCAAGAACAGATATGATAAGACCTAAATAATCCTTTCTTCTTTCAGATTTTGCTGCTAATTTAGAAGACATGAAAATAAATCCGAGAACACAAGCATATATAGCAATTGGCCAAGTAATCAGCGAAAAGAAAGCTACTAGTAGCCAGTAAAATAAGTAATAAGTTTCACTAAGAGCATGTATGTCTCCCGCTATATAATTTACTGCTATAATTACTAACTCCAGTAGACACAGCAAGGTCTTACCATAAAGTGGCATTTGTGTGGCAATTACAAAGAGTATAATAGACACAGCAGCAAAAATTCTGTTGAAAGCCAGCGGATGATTGCATTTTATATTTCTTAAAAATCTCACTATGGCATTGGATGGCTCTAATTCTCCATCAGATTTACTGTCCTTATCTTCTTCTTGATGGTTATCAAGCTGTCCAGTGCTTCCCTTTTCTGAGTTTAGTTTTTGACCATCTTCCATTCTATTATCTCCTGTTTCTCCGTTATTATGACCATTGGAGACATAATAATGCGGATCAATTATATTATCAGTTGATGCATCAATCACTTGTCTCATTTGAGGAGATGTGTGATCAGTGGCAGATGATTCATCCGTAACGTTTTCTTTCTCTACTTCATCTGATCTATTCTTGTTTGATAATTTGTAACTGTCTGTTGTGGTGCTTTTACTATTCATTGGAATAAAAAAATAGAAAGTTGTCTATTAAAAATGTTTACTGCAGGCTTAATTATACTTTTATTTATAGTAGAGAAAATAATAAAAATTAAAATTAAATAGCTTATTATTGTTCTACCAATGGATAAGTAACGCTATTTATACTCTTTGTCGTAAATTAATTTGTAATTCATATACCAAACTTATAACCATACCAAAAACAAGCATGAATATATTTACCTTTCAGATGGCGCAGACATAAATAGACACATTAAGAAACTAAAGAAGACAAGGATAACCAGACAGCAAACACACTGACACAATTCACCAAGACACACTGCAAATATCATACAACTGGCAGCAGTAAGTCTAGAATCTATTGCCAATTTCATCCCAAAGAAAAAAGTTACCATCTTCCATAAACTGTTTAAGCAAATTAACATATATAGACTTTAGATCGAGTTTTTCTTGTATCTGCTGTACCTTTTCGATGAGTTTTATTTTTAGCTCATGCATTTCTTTATCCTTTTCAGATGCATTCATTCTCCGCTGAGTACCATGTGCCAGTGAAAGAGATGTATTCTCTACACTGTCCATCTTTTTGTCGCTTGGTCCTGCTATTGCACTCTCTTCTAGCGGCAGTGTGCTGCCTGTTCTTATCACTGCCAGTAGTATACTTACTATCAGTACTATCTTCATATGCACTTTCATTCCCATCTAAGTAAAATTAACTTTCATTTGCTTTTATACTTTTTGAATGATCAAAATGATCTCTATTCTTGCTATTAGTTGCCAACTAGAACAAAAGTTCCAGAAAATGAGAATGACTATATTTACATTTCTAAATTGTGATGGTTGCTGTAAAGTGATGTGTATAATTATAGATTAATTTGCAACAGTTTACAAAATTTAAACACTGAGGGTAAATGAGCTTTGGCACGGATATTTATTTTGATGTCTTTTTACTGTGCAAGATAGAGCAATTTGAAGCATTGCCAGACAAGTATTAGCTCACATCACATCTATATCTATATCAGTAGAAACAATATAACAGACGCTTATCCCTACGAATAGGAAGAATATAGTGTATAATGCAGCCACTGATAGCATTAGATCTCTTAAATATTGGTACTTTTCCGCCCTGCCATCGAAGACATGCGACGAGTTGCTAATCAGCATATTTGCATGCTTCTGAAGTTTCGCTAGAAAGTACTCTCTCTGGTTTGGGCTGTTTTTTATGGCGCCTGCAAGATAGCTCTCGCACAGAAGAACCACTTTCTTGTTTTTCTTTTTCTGGCTTTTTATTCTTCTGCAAAGCTCTTTGGCGTTTAAGTCAAAGAATCTGGTGTTGTCACACAAGGATGCGCACACATTTATATCGCTCTTTAGCTTATTTTCCATCTTTTTTATGTTTGCGAATAGATCAAAGGACCTTTCTCCGTTGCACTGAGCCTCTTTCCAGAAGCCAAGAATTCCCAAACGGCCGCAGTCATTTTTTGTTGCCAGAGCAGGCACTAGATCCCAGTTCACCAGGCCTTCAATAGACAGAAAAGACGTGAATAGCGCTATTACCTCGACTCTTGTGGCTATCTCCATCGAAATATTTTCTCTGTATATGTTAATCGAGCACAGCAGCTTGATATCATCTGGGTCCATGGATAGTGAAGCAGCATGCTTTATTAATTGCACACTTTCTTTTTTTTCTAATTCATCTTTGAGCAACTTGTACAGCTCCAATATTTTTTCTTTATTTTCTTCAACATACTTCATGCCCTCGTCTATTAAATAGCTCCCATCTAGTTGCTTGGCGTACAGCTCTTCCAAAGTGAAAAAAGAAGAAGGCTTCTTTGTTAGATAGCTAAACACTAGATAAACGGAAAGATCATAGAAGTTTGGGATGTAAAGTGTGATTATGTGGTGCGTGAACACGTATAGGAGGTCTCTGCAATCTTTTATGCACTGTTTTCTTTGTTCATCCTTTAAGTCTTTTTTACACATGCTGCCGTACCACTCATTGACTGCTCTGCCCAGGCTGTCGGTTATTTCTATTTCAAGCTTTGTGAGCTCTTCTTCGGAAAGGGCTTTATTGACTACATTTAGCAGTTTTATACTTTTGATTAGGCTGTACTGTAGGTTTTTAGAGCTTTCTTTTTCTTTTGAAAGATCACTCAAATACCTAATGCATTCACCTACCATTACAGCCTCGTTGATGAACCAGTTGCATATAAAACTCAGCTTGGCTATTTCTTTGATGCTGTCTAGCTCTTCATCTGGAATGCTCTGGGACTTAATGATTATGCTCGCATTTAAGACATCGCTGTCCATTGCACAAAGGCCGCGTTCTGAGGTCTTCAGAGATAAAAACTCTTTCATTTTCTGAAAATTCAGTAGTATCTGTATTGTGTTCTCTTTCTCTTCTTTCATATAAAAATCCGAATATTTCTTCTCTAAATATACTTTTACATCTAATCAAAGTGTTCAATTTTTTATTAATTTATTGGAAGAGTTTTTAGAAACTGTGCACACTACAGCGAAATTATTTTTATTAAAACACGCTATTTTTAATAAAGCGTGTATATACATGTGCTCTTAGCCTATATCTGCCATCTAAGTGATCTATAGCATCTTAGGTACTTTAGCCTATACTAGTAGACATCAAATTGATGGAAAAATCAAATAGATAATTGTCTATCATTTCTTTTTTAATTGGAGATAGAGAGAAAGTATAAATAGAACAATGGTTTTATTGCAATATATGCTCTGCATGGCTGAGGAGAATGGGAAAGAGCTCTATGAGTATGCACTAGCTAACGGCGCTGTAAAAGAGATGATCCATAGAATAGTGGCACTGCAGTACTGTCTCGTCTGTTTTGTGTCTATAATCGTGCATGTGCAAACTATGAACAGTTTTTACTCTTTTGGGCGCGCAGACGGCTTTATTAGGAGTATAGAGCCAAAAGTTCTCTTCTCAAACTACCAGACATATATTTCTGTCCTTTCGATTCTGTTGATGCACAGACATGCTAAAAAAGAGAAGAGCGCCATTGGTGGCATACTTACACGCAGTAAACACCAGCCTTTTGGGTTTCTTCTGTGGGGAGTGTGTTTTGCAGTTAGCTCTAACTTCAGCTATTACACAAAGATATCGAATAGCCTGCTTTCCCTATATTTTATTGTATTTTCTATAATTGCTGTGGCATCCGTTCCGATTCTCTTTCTCTACCAGATGCCCTCTAAACAGCTTGCAAGAGTTTTAATAGCTGGAATGGTGGGGCCTTGCACAATAGCTTTTTTAACCTATCTCTCTGTTTCCTACATCAACAGTCTTGCTCAAATAAAAGCAAACAATATCCTAAAATAGCCAACACGTATATGAATAATTTTACTAGCCTTAAACATTGTCATACATATTGTTTTTCGTACATTCTAGAGTTATTTTATCCAGCAGTGTTTGAGAAAAAGAATAAAATTATTTAAACCTTCTATAAGTACACTTTTTTTCTTCCAATAACATTTACAATATTCATTCTTTATTCACAGATGCTTTGCAAGTGGCACTTCCATTATTTCTGTGAGCCCGTCTATCTCACAGAGACTTTCAATTCTCTCTGACAGAATGAGAATTAATACAGCGGGCTGCCTGTTTTCATCGTATTTGATGTCTCCCATGAGTATGCACTTTCCTGTTGAAATGACGGTTTGTATTTTCGTTTTTTCTTTTACATCCCACAAATAGACATTGCCGTCTCCTCCTCCTGTCAGTATCCTCGTGGCGCTGATGGCCTTCATTAGAGTAACAGGATAGTAGACTTCTCTGTTCTCTGTCTCTGTTTTGTGTGCCTTAAACACAAACCCTGTTCCTGCTCTATTGGCGTAGTCTACACACACTTTCCCAACTGGCGTAGAATACACTATTGTATTCTGCTCTGTGTTCTGCATGAACATGATCTGGTCTATTGCTGTGTTGGAGAGCAGGGATTTTATCTTTGTAATTCGGTCCAGTTTTATGTCGTATATCTCAACCACCTTCCCGTCTACAATATAAACGAGTTTTTCTTCTTCTAGATAGCTGTTTGACACTTTTCCGTCAATTTTTACTGTTTTAGATATCTTGTGGGCATTTGTGTCATAAATGGATATTTCTCCAAAGATGTAGATGACTATTATGGAGCTGTCTTTGTACTTATGTATTCCCACAACCGCCTCCAGCGAAATGTTTGTGTGTTTTATGGAGCCGTTTGCTTTTAGTATTTTTGCAACTTTTTTGTTTCTTATGTCCCACACGTCCCCGTGCGCCGTGCCTATGTAGACTGCATCTTCAGTGGAGCATATCGCAGTGGCTGGCGAGTTAAGGTCTATGCGGCTGCTCTCTTCTTTGCTCATTATTCTTACAGTTCCGTCCCACAGGCCATATATCAGGTTGTTCTTAAATTCTACGGTGGATATGCTGCTATTTTGTTTGGTCATTTTCTGTAAATATTTTCTGTATTTTTTCTCTGGCTCTTATGGACAGCCCTGCTCTTGTTTTTCTGTTCTGTTTTTTTGTAAAGTGGTGTATTGCATAGACAAGAGCATACTTATCTGCTGTGTAGAGCGCTTTTAAGATGCCTTCAGAGCCCTCGATGTTTCTTTCTGTTAGTATTAGAAGAAGATGCACTAAGCTAAGATAGTTTGTTGTTTTCAACGGATGTTTTGAAATTTCAGATACGAAAAAGACCAACGCTTTTGACTCAGAAGAGTTGACAATGGAGCTGTTCTTTGTATAGTAGTGAACTATATCGGGAAGCAGATACTTCTCTATTCTCGCGATGAGAAAGTCTCCTGTGGTTGCCAGCATCACTGCGAGCAGCGAGACAATCTCAGAGCGCATAGAATAGTCAAAGCCAGATCCGTTCATAATTTCAAACACTTCAGCAGAAACAACCATGACATTATTGCTGTTGTTGTCTTTATCGCTCATCGGCACTCTATTTGGATCATCATCTGCAGCTTCTTCTTCGCCATATTTTGTTTGGGATAAGCTATTCTCATTGTTTTTATCATTCTTATCAGCAATACTTTGCATTCTGTTGTGAAGTGTTTTTGTTTCTGCTTTCCTCATTCCATACATGTACTCTGGCACTCCTTCATCCAGCTCTTTGTATGCATAAATTATGCTTTCCAGAACAGGATATATCTCTTTAACCAGGCTTGTGTTATCTGTGGTTATCAAGTAAACCACAGACTTAAATATCATTTTCAGGTCCTTCTTTTTAAAGTGTGTTTTTTCAACTATTTTTTTGATTATCTTTGGGATATACTCTATCTCCTGCGATCTGCTCAGGATAAATCTATTTCTGTTCACGTACTCCATCTTCTTAAGCAGGTTGGACAGCTCAACAGTCAGCCCAGCTATTCTCCCATGGTATCCATACTCCACTATTGCGTTGATTATATTAAGAGATATCGACAGGTTTGATTTGTTCTTGAAAATCAGGCTAAGATAGTAGTCATATTTCGCTGATATTTCTTCTGCAATGTTTATCATCCTACTGATCGGATGGCTGTTTATGTACTCTTTATCTCCTGTTGCCTCTAATACTCTCAGAAGAACGGCTCTTGATAGATCGCATCCTGCAGGGATACTTATTCGGCTCTCTTCGCATACTTCTGCAATAAGGAAAACAGACTGGCTGTTTATGCTATGGATGCATTCACTAAGCAAATCAGACACATTCTCTCCTACCAATAGGTTGCTTGTGTTGATTATATTATTGTCTATTCTTTTCTCCTGTCCTATTTCTACAAGATCCGTAGAAGTCTTTTTTGTTTTTTTATCGACTATTTTTCTTATCTCTCTAAGCCATTCTACCACTATTCTTCTTTCCTTTTCTCTCCCCTTGCTGCTTATCTGTATCTTGTTCAGCACTTTTTCTGCATCCGCTCGCAGTATCAGCCCGTTCTTATCTTCTACTCTCTCTTCATCGTACTCTCTCTGTGTGCACCCAGCATCTTCCTGCACTTCTGCTATACTTCTTCTGATAATTGGCAAAAGTAGGTTTACATTGTACTCTGCTACACCCTGCAGTATTTCTCTATTCTTTTTTATTCCCTCAGCTATCCTGTGCTCTTCGTACACTTTTACTATCACATCGGCAACTACTCTTCTACTGTCTACAAGCCCGTACAAACTACTGCACTTATTTTCGAGTATTATCCTTGTAAAGTGTTCCTTGCCTTCTTTGCTTCCTTTTTTCATAGCTTGTCTTATGATACTTTGGATAGATCCTCTATCTCTTTTTTCTCTATTCCCTTTTAAGAACAGAATAAGCCTTTCTTCTAGTCCCGGCACTTCTTCAAGAGAGCAGACTCTCTCAAGACACCATCCAATTAGCTCTTCTATTCCCTCGTGCAGACGGCTCATCTTCTGGTCTACTGCTATTTTTATGTATTCTGAGAAGAGGCCTGGTATGTACTCTTTTTTGAAATACTTTTCCAGTGCTTTCTTGTGCAGTTCTAGCTCGCTCTCAGATGAAATGCGAAGTGTTTCGTACAAAATGTATGCAACTATTTTACCGCTCTCTTTATCGCCCTCGTACTTCTCAATTACCTCGTAAATGCTCATCTTTTTCATCATATATGCTGCTATTATCGCATTCATTATTGTTTTGCAATGGTAAAAATATTTACAGGCCATTTAAGTAGACAAGTGCACAAGAAAAGAGCCGAACAGAGAATTGAAAAGAAAGAACGAAAAACCAGTTAAAAGACGGAAAAGCGAAGTAATAAGCTAAAACAGAGAAGAATATCTTAATCAAGAGAGCCAAAGAGTGAGCTAAATGAAAAAACAGAAGAATAAGAGAATAAACTAAGCAGAGTCCTCTTCCCTAGTGTTAAAATGTCTTAAAATACCATAGAAGAAAACTTTTAGCATTTCTAGGCACAGACCTAGCAGTCTATCTATCAGATCAGCCTTTTCCACTATAGATCCTCCAAATGGTGCAGCAGAAGAAAAAACAAAGAAAAGCTGAATGTTTAAATATTTTATTAGAATACTTCAGTGCGCACACAAAAATAAAATTAGATCCCTCTGCTTCCTTCTTCAATCTTTCCCATGGGCGCCTGGCTCTCCACTAAGTTGTTGGCCAGCCACACAAACCCTTCCGTGATCATATTTACGTCTTTGGCGGTTGTTGCTGAGCACGTGATGATCATCCACGGCCTTCCTGCGAATAAAACAGTGGGGTTTATCTTGTTGTACAAGTTCTGCTTTACTTCTTCTATTTCTGCCTCTGGTATTTTGTCTATTTTGTTGGCAATTATTAACACGGGATATCTCGTGGGTCTTCCGCTGTTTGAGAGCATCCTTGTAAGCTCCTGCACTGCTGTCTCCCATCTCTCTGAGTCCTGGATGTCTATCACATAGACCATCCCCGACAGCCCGTCCGTGTAGAACTCCCAGAGTGATCTTATTTTGTGCTGTCCCCCTATGTCCCAGACAATTATCCCCACATTTCCTATCTTTATTGTTTCGATGTTAAAACCAACAGTGGGGACAGTCGTCGTGTCTGATCCTTCAATTGCCTTGAAGTGCAATAAATACAGGATCGTGGTTTTTCCTGCGTTGTCCAGCCCTAGCATTAGCACTTTTTTCGGTGACTTCTTCGTGAAAGCACTCAGAAGATTGCTTACCATGGAGCCCATTCGCAAATATAAAAAATAAATTATTAAATACGAATTAATTAACAAAAGCAAATAAACAAACGACAGAAAAATTAATTGGCTCAATCTAAAACCAGGCCATAGAATGTTTTAAGAAGATAATTTAAGGAAAACGTGTTGGCACGCCATGAAAATAAGAAAGACTGTGGTAACAGCTGCAATACTAAATGGCGTTCTAGCCATGGAGAGCGTCCCTGACTGGCAGTACTGCAATATCCTCAGTGATATCAATACGCTGCAGAACACAATGTGCAAGCTGTACAGGACTAAGCTTGGGCTCAGACAGCCCTGGCTAATTGGCCAGAACATTCCCCCAGCTGCACCGAGTGTAATAAGACAGCCGTATACGTACCCAATGAACAAGGAAGGCCCGGAAGTGCCAACGAAGGAAGATATACAGAGGAGCATACTAGGTGTCCTTAGTAGCACACGAGGCGGCCTGTGCGGAGACAAAACTTTGCTTATTTGTTTGCCGGGGGAGACAAATGGCGGTATTTCCTCTGATGTTCCGCAGACAAAAAATCTTCCCAATTTGGTCATTAACATAGGCAGCACGGACAAGAACGGAAATACGGTTAACGATATGATCTCCAGAATAATCATAAAAAAAGACAACAAAACAAGTGCAGTGATAGAAAGCGACTGCAAAAACAGCAGCAGCACATCTGCTAATATTCAGGCATGCACACACCCGCTGGATGTAGTCAGAGGCACACAAAGTACGAACATGCACGGACAGATCATCGGCAGCCAGGGGACGCTCCAGGGCGCAGGCGGCGTTCTGCTGAACAACACCACAGACCATCAAATATTTGCAGCAGGGGTAGAAACACACAGTGGAAACAACGGACAGAACAGAGAGATATACGCAGCAGGCGTAGAAGCACAGAATCACAGCAACTTAAATGGAATGAATAATGGTCGTATGGGCAACGTGAACAACCAGATGAACAATGGATCATTTAACAATAACTCAAATTACAATAACAATAATTCAGGTTACAATAATGGCCAGATAAATCATTCAGGTTACAACAACAGCAATAATTCAGGTTATAACAATAACAACAACTCAAATTACAATAACAACAATGGCCAAATAAATCAACCAGGCTATAATAATAGTCAGATGGGCAACCAGACGGGCAGTGGTTTACTAAATAATAATGGCACACATATCCATGGCGTGGTTGATGAAAAGGTGCAAGGAAATGGGACAGTGACTGGCGCTGGCTTTGTGGAGTATGACACCAGGGGAAACGTGCCAGGATACAATAAAAAGACAGGCATGCCTGTGGAGAACAATCAGGGAAAGTACGAAGCACCTCTTAGAAAGAACAATGGCATAAAGTACTGCGATGACCCTGAAGTGGTCAACTGCATACCCCGTGGAAACAGCACAAAGAGCGATGCATATCCTGAGTATGAGCCAGAGCGCAAGCCGTGGAGCAAGAAGAATTCGCCAAAAGACTCCAAAGAGAGAATGAGAAGAAAAAGAAAAGAAAGAGAGCAGAAGGATCTCATAAAGGAGGAAATAAAAAAAGAGTTCAAAGAGCAGGAGAAAGCGCTGAAGAAAGAATTAAAAAGCCTGCAGAAAAGAAAAAATGAAGAGGAAAATATTTTCAAAAAGCTCCAGAAAATAGATAATGAGAATAACGACGAAGTCGAAAGGCCAAAGAGACAGGACAAGTTCACGTGGGTAAAAGAGGGAGAAGGAAGGTACAGAAGAGTAAGTTTAGATCCATACGACAGCCCACTGGATGAGCCAGCAAGCCCAAAGTATTCCAGCATACCGCAGAATGAGCCTCTCCACTCAGATGCGAGCAATAAAGAAGCTCTGCTGAGAATAGAAAGAGCTCTGCGCGATCTAGAAAGAAAAACAAGCCAAAAGCCAAATATACCCGAATACATGCCAAGCATTCCCAAAACGCACTACATTGACGCAGATCCTGAGCCAGTGGTTTACAGGAGAGCGCATCCTCCTGTGGGCTACTTAGAGAGATCACCGCACTATTTAATCAAGAGCGAGCTACCAAAGAAAGACAAGGATTTAGTTTATATACGAGAAACCAGCCTACTATAACAATAAAACATAAATAATTGAAACACCTTCCCTTTTATCCCTGAAGCAGAAAAAGTAAATCATCTGATGGTGATCAAAAAACAATGTGTAGTATCGAATTGCACACTTAGATAATGGGCTAATCCAATACTGCACGATAAGACTGCACATAACCACTCTTGTCTCATTTACGCTGTTATTTCATCGCAACTCAAGGACAGTTACCACACTAATTCTACTTTGCCTGGTTGTTTTCTCTCGTTCTTATGATAATAACGGTCTTTTGCATTTTTATTTTCCTTCTGGCTGAGGAGCTATTTAAAAATGAAATGTGAATAAGACGGTCTAAATATTATTCTTATAATTTTTCATTTTATGTTTCGCGATATTTACAAAGAGTCTCTCAAAATAGACACGCCAGAGGTAAATTTGACCAACGACAGAAGCAGCAGAGTCTTTCCGTACGACAGAGACATTGACAGAATACTGCCAGAGTGCTACAAAACAGCAATACGCGGGACCAAAGAGGAAAAGATAGATAAGTTTTCAGAGGGCACGCTGTTTTACGTTTTCTTCAACCATTGCGGAAAAAGGGTTCAGATAGACGCATACGACCGGCTGCTCAAGCTAGGCTGGATGTACAGCAAAGAAATGAAAACGTTTGTGCAGATAATCAAGAAGAACGTGGAGCCTGGTCTTATCCTGTACTTTGACTACTGCACATGGAAGAAAGTAACCAAAGAAGTAGTCATCGACCAGGCTTTCATGAGCACGCTAGAAGACAAGAATATTTAAATAAAGAGTATAATAAGATATTATCCAGCATATTGCCGTTTAGAGCGAAAACGAGATAGGAAAATCTTAGTGTAGATAAAGAGAGTTTATCGTTATTCCCATCCTATATTTCTGTACTTTGCCATTATATCCTATTGTTCCATCTTTTGTGGCGTGCTCTCTTTTTATTTTATTTTTATTTTACTTACATGAAAGTCTTTGAAGAAGTTGTTTCTTGCTCTCTTCCTGTGGACTACTTTGCCGCTGCTACTTTTCTTAACGGGGTGTACTTTATTTCGTACAGTGCGGTGTATAAGTACTTTACCACAGGACACATCGAAAAGTATCCATTTCCCGCTATTTCTCCATCTTTTAGCAAAGTTATCTCCACTGAGTGCGGAGAGTATCTTGTGTTTACGCAGAAGAACGTTCAGACGGTATACAACCCGAGCTTGAACTACATGGATACAGTCACCCTTTCAGGAAAGCCAACGCGCACGCTTATTGATAAATTTGCAGTTATCAATTTGCTGTACAACGAGATACACATATACCACATAAATAAAAAAGGACACATTTCGAAGTACAAAATACCGCAGAGCAAGCTGATCAACAAGTACAGGATAAGAAAGATAGCACGACAAGACGGAAGAATGCTCTTGATAGAGGACAAACTTGTTGAAATACGCCTGCGAATAAAAGAGAGCCAAAGCACAGGCGCAGACATCGGTGGACTCGACATGATGATAAATGTGGGGATGAAAAGCCCTGTGCTAATAGAGCCAGAGCCCATTACATTCTGCGCCAAGCCGCTGGAGGACATCCTGTGCACTACATGGGGCGGAGTCATGAAGTACGAAACAGGAATGGAAGTGTACAGCAGAAACTACGAGAACTACAAGCTAGAATACATCTACAAAACAGACGGAGAGATAATCAGTACACAAGACAGGGTGGAAGCAGAAGAGAAGCTGTTCCTGCAAGAAACAAGCCAGGACCAGGACGGGAGTGTGGTGAATATTGTGGAAATAGGGAAAGATGGACCGGTAGTTATTTTCCAAATCAAAAAAAAAGAGAAAGTGTATGTTATCAACAAAAGTACATTTTTAGTCACGGGCGTAGTGGATAGGGTAGTGCGCTGCAAGAAAGACACAGGGACATACCACGCGCCAGCAGTTGAGCTGAGCAAAGAAAAAAACATACAAAGAAAAGAAAGCGAGGTGATTGAAGAGAGCATGGAGTACCTTAGAGGCTACAGGAACATTGAGTTTGTGCTGGAAGACGCCTCAGAAGAAGAGAACGCGATGTACATTGAAAAGATACTCAACTCTTTCAAAGAGGACGTAACTGCAAAAATCCTTGCACTTGGCATCATGCTCTCTAAGAAGATCGAATACATAAAAGAGACAAAAGAAGAAATAGAAAAGATAGAAGAAAAAACAAGAGAAAGAATATGCGAGGCGTCGGATAAAAATGAAAGAATAATAGGGCGAATGAGCAGAATAATTAAAGACATGCAGGACTTGAAGGACAAAGACATAAATGAAGACAGAAACACACTGGAGAGAATACATGTGCTCAAAAAGAAAATAGAAGAGCTGAAAGAGAAAGTAAAAACAAAAAGTACACAGGAAAGACTTGTAAAAGAAAAGGGAGAGTATTGTTTATTAAAGCAACAGAACGAATATTTGATGAAGAAGCTGGAAACAATGAACTGATGAGTTGGTTAACTAGCTCATCAACTGATAATGAGCTGATTGGCTGGCCGGCTGTGTTAATAATCTTTTCTGAATAAACAAAATAAAACATAAACTAAACATGTCTTGGTTACCCTTTGTTTATCTGTCTACAAATATGATCTGTTCTGTTTATTGATGAATCGCACACACGACACACGAGGGCTGGGAATATTCCGAATAGGAAAGACAATCGAGAAATACACCAGAAAAACGTACAATAAAGCCAAAAAAATAACAGAAAACGCATCTTCTCTCCTCTCAGGAAATGCAAGCAAAAAAGAAGGAACATTGAATGTAAAGCTGATAGAGGAGTCCATACGGCAGACAACTGACTACATAGACGCCCAGAACAAATCGCTCAGATGCAACCAGACTGAGCTACAAGTAAAAGAAAACAGCCCGATACTCCTGTACATAAGAGAAATGCAGGATGTGATTGATAAGATAGGCGGTCTATACTCAGATGTTTCCATTCCCGTGGTACTTCTGCATACGATCAGACAGAGCGGAAAAATGAATGCAAATTTGCTTTCAATCGAGCAAAAGCTGCACTCCTCTCTTACAAGAAGAACTGCAAGCAAAATAAGAGTAAATAATAAGATAGTTACTCATTTGGTCAGTGATGCACTATATCCCAGCCGATACCTTAATTACGCCCTAAGTCGAAGTGCTCTTCTCTCTAAAGAGTATGGAAGGCTGTTTGAGACAGTGGAAGAAGCTTTGCTGCAGGGCAGTGGAAGAAGAGCGAACATAAAATACACAGCAGAAATACTGAAAGAAATAAAAGATGAAATCACAAAGAAAATAGAAAATGAAAAAATAATTGAAGGTGTGCCAATGTTCTGGGAAGTGCCACTTTTCAAATACATTCCCGTCGAGTCGCTAGCAAAAGATGAAGAGATAATGAAATATTTAGAGGAAAGCACGAATGACGAAGTAGAGAACAGCACTAGTGACAAGATGAAGAATAAGAAAGCTAAAAGTAAAATATTCGGTAAAGAAAAAACTGGTGGTGTGGCCAGTGGTGAATCAAACAGCGAGTTAGATGTGTCTGGAGTTGACGAGTCATCTATTAAAGAAGTATATGCTGCTAGAGCTGCTGTTATCAGTGAATTAGCCGGTAATGATGCTGTTAAAGAGGATGATGTGTGTAGTAGTAGTCTGGAAGATCTGACAGAAAGTGCTGTTTAGTCTGTTTAAATAAACGTAAAGTTAGTGATAAGTAGCTATAATATTATTTATTTGGTTAAAAGATGGTATGTAATAGGTAGTGATATTTACAGCACTGTAAGGGTAATGGCCGAGTGATCGTGTGGCTGGGTGTAGTGAATGGTAAACAGCGAAGGATGCCTGCTGGCTATGTCTTCTATCTCTGCTACTGTAAGAAAGTTCTTCCTAGATATGTGCTGCAGCTGCCCTGAGCCGTGGTGCAGCAGGTAGATGTACAGTGATATTGTGCTATAGTATGCTGCATCATCAGAAATGGGAATGTCTTCTATGCCCTGTATGCTGAATGTCTGCAGATACGATCTTTGTGCTTTCTTCTCTTTTTTCTTTGCTGTCTTATCTTTTTCCACACTGGACAATGCTGCTGTTGTTTTTGATAGTGATTTGGCATGGCTTATTGCTCGTTTGTACTCTTCTGTTACTTTCATGTTCAGAATTATGTTATTTTTTATCGATGACTTCGAAAGAGAAAGAATCTTCAGAGCGCTCATGGACAGAACAACAAACTCGCATAGGAAATAATCATGCTCCAGCAAGCTGAGCAGGACAGTTCCATCTCTTATAAGAGTGTCCTTTATATGCCGTATGCACTCTAAAACATCATCGCATGAAAAGAGTCTTCCATTCACTGTATATTCTCTGTTGCATAGGATATCGTAATTATTCTCTCCGTTTGTTTCTACCCGTACTATTTCCTTGTTTAGAACATACACCTTCTTTGGCCTGATGCTCTTTATAAACATCCTTATAAGTTCATTTTTGACTATTTTGGAGTATCCTGTGCCTATTATTACATTTACAGCCGCTCCTGTCCTTGTGTGTCTCATCGCTCCATGCGACATTCCGCTGCCTATCCTTTCTTTGTACTCATCGCACATTTTCTCGCATAGAACCGTTCTTTCTTCTTTCGACAGAAAGTGTTCCGTTATGAAAGAGCTGTCTTTTGCTTCTAAAAGTAGATCTTTGCTGTGTTGTTTATCTTTGTAGTTATCTTCTGTTTTTTTTACTATTCTGTACTTTTCTTCTTTGTGCACACCTTCATCTCCATGTGTCTCTATTTCTTCCAGTGCTCCATCGTTCACTAGTTCATCGATGTACTCCTCTAGGACAGGCAATAGCTTCTTGGATGCAAAGTACTTTGATAGGTCGTTTGGTGCATCTGCTCTGAACTCTTCGTATTTTAGTTTTTTCCAATCCATATCTTTTTCAGAGTAGTACGCCTTTATTCTCTCCAGCAAATTTATTTCGCAGAATGAGAAAATAGACAAAAATACGAATAGGCTCAGCCCGTAGAGTGTTTCATATGTCTTATCCAC